TTAATTAAGAATTCTTTTGAAGTAGTTTGAGAAGTTTGAAGACGTTTGAGTGTCACTGCGTTTTACTCTGCACGACTCTTCTAAGAAGAAGAGTGACTGAGCTGTCAAACCTGTGCGGTTTGGCTCAAGTCCGAGCTGTGAAAAAGAGCTGCCACGCCGCTCTCGTGTTTTCACACACCATCTTTGTGGATTATAGTTGGTCGGCCGGCTTGCACCTCGGCGAGGATTGCCACTGCCTTGTTTTCATACAAAGTGCGTTCCCATTCCTCCAGGGCTCTTTGCGCTAGGGTGTCAGTTTGTGGTGGGGCTTTGAGTGCAGCTGTTGTCCCTAACGCTCTTAGGAAGGGGCTATCGGGTGGAATAGGGGATGGGAGGTGCTGAATGGCCGCTAGTGCACGCTGGACGTCATTTGTGTGCACTTCATATGACGTGGTTGTTTTCTTGCTTATGGCAGGCTCGGAGTCAGTCCATAGTTGTTCCAGTGTATATCCTGGTTTCGGTTCCATATACCGTCGGTTCCACACTGCATGATGGGACCATTGAGGCGCGTCGTGGTTGATTTCAACCGAATCCCTTTTCATGTCATATTCTTTGAGCATATCATCCAATTCTTGGCTAGCGGCTCTGTGAATACAACATTGTCTGACAGCACCATCGATGTGCATGGCCATCCCACGGGCATGTGGGAGTCTTCCAGGAGTCCATCCCCATTTTGCTCTATGATTGTACCCAACATAGGGACATCAATAGTTGCTTTGAGGCTAACTTGCGCACGTTTGCACTTCCATGTGTCAGGTGCTAAAAGGCCTCTGCCAGCCAAGAGTTCGAGCGACGGGAATTCTGGTTGGTCATTCGTCGGTAACACTTCTTCTTTGATGACTAACTTTAGCCCATGTAGTGGCTGGGGCTGCTCCTTTTGAGGGTCTTGAGGTGGTTGGGATGCGGTATCCTTGGGTGTTGTGTCTTCAAACGAGGTGGGACGGACCGACTGGACACCTATGGGACTTGGAGAATTAGTGGTTTTAATGCTTTCTCTGCGCAGGCTATGGTAGACGGGCGGGATCATCCATGCCGGCACAAAAACTGTGATAAACTGCACATTCCAAATGACCTGCAAATTCTGCGGCTTAACTTCAGGCGTGATACATCTTACCTGACCATCGATCACTCTGGTGTATGATTCAGAACGGTCGAAGGATGCTGTGACTTTCAGGCCCAGGTACAGCTCTCGAAACCAGTATTCCTTGAGCATCATAAAGGAAAGGTGAGGTGCCCTCACTTCCAATCGTGCGAGGCTGGCATTAGTAGAGTGACCATCCATTCAGCTAAAAATTCAATCATTTTGACTTCGAGTTTGGGGAGGATGGCTTGGACTGCTCGTAGTGCACCCGCAATGTCCGGGACATGCCTACGTGAGGGCAGTCGAACTGTTCGTTTGGCATACTCGTCAGCAAAGTAAAGTCTGCACAACTTTGAGACCCACTGGCTCGGTTTCTCCATGTCTATGGTGATCTTGGCCAGGGGCCATGGGTCTGGGAGCGTGGACAAACAATGCAGCAATTCGGATGTTAGGTCTGCGGAGATAACTGGGAGGGCTTCTCCTTGCGGGCGATAGTCAACTGCAGGTCCTACCGTGCCCTTGCTTTTTTGCGTATGGGTGCGGGCGGCTATTTGCACGGCTTGGATGGTGGTCTCATATTGGTTGACCATAGCTCTTAAGTACTTGCATGCGCGGACAGCTGCCCTTCTTGTGTTTGGCCCATCTTCGGGCTGGTTCTTGGCAGCTACTGCAAGGATGTCTCTCGCTTCTTCTTCAGGCGACCGTTTGGGTTCCGTATCAGGTGCAGGTGCATTGAGAGCGGTGCCTTGGACTGGCGCTTCTTTTGCGCGCGGCAAGTGGTCTGGGATCGGCAAATCGCCATCCATCAAAGAAGTATATGCCAGGCAGGGACAGGATCTCAGGAACTAGTTGATGACTCTGCAGCATTCACTCGCGAAATGACGCGAATCCTGCGCGACAAGCAAACCCACCCCTCATCGAAATGATGAGACCAGCGGAGAGCAGTGATCCACTCCCCGCCACTGCTGCAGCTAGTGGCGCTAGTAGCAGTGGAGAACCTCGCGCCACCTCACACGTGCAGTTCCAGTAAACCACTCGAGGTGACGTAGAGTACCCAAGTTTCCCATCCATGCATTCAGCCTGTAACTTGACCTAGGTTGAGCGGCGTTGTCACCATGGGGTACTCATGGTTGATTCAAGGTGACTGAGTGTTCGTAGTTCATTAGGTTGGGTTTTTTTCGTGGGTGGTTGCTGCCGCTGGTTGAGGAGGCTGCAGCAAATTCGGAAATGGGTAAATCATCACGCACATCTGGGTTGACTATTTGAGCAAGGACTGGGTGTGCTTGCTTTTGCATGATTTCTGCAATCAACTCGCAGGATCCTCTACTAGCTCTTTTACATCGTCCAACGGTTTGTCTAGGGCTATTGCCACCAGCATTTCTCCTCCATCTTTTTCAATAATCTCCGTCTTTCCAGCCTGACTTTTATGTAAGACAGCAAAGGCTTTCTCACAGATACTCCTTTCATACTCTTCTGTTGCTCTTTGAGAGTGTGATCCTGTTTGAGGCGGGGGCCCGAAGAGTCTCAGGGGTTCCAAGGACGCGGAGAAATACGCTTTCGGGTAGCTGGGCGGTGGGTTTGCTTGCTGCAATGGCTGCTACACGCTGTATGTCGTTAGACGTGACATCTCGTGAGCTTGTCACTTTTTAGATTATGTCTGTAGTGTGATCTGCCCACAGTTGGCCCAGATTGTACCCCCGCTCAGGTTCCATATACAATCGTATCATTGCGCAAAAGCGGATCCTCATCGCATTCCAATCCTGAGGATGACACCATGGATGATACAATGCTATCACCCTTCTTGAAGTTACCGACGTTATGAACTGACCAGCTGATCACCATGTCTTCGTTGTTTGTTTGTTGTGTTCTTTTCGTCTGTTTGGTTTTGGGTTGTTTTGCTTGGGTTTTCTTTCCTACACGGCCACGGTGCGCAACCAACACCGTGGAGTTGGACATGGTGATGACACCGATATGAATGATGTGCAGGAAGGCAGCGAAAGTGAAAAAGGAGAAGAAAATGTTCTTGTGAACCAAGAACAAATCTCAGCCAGACCATTGAGACCTTCCGGATTGAGTTGAACGGTTGTCTGATGCGTCATGACTATGGGATGGCCAGCCAATTCAGAACTGTATCATGCTGGTTTTGGATGCGCTGACTGATACCATTTCTATGCCACGAACTAGAAGGGTCGAACTTTTCACTGGACTTGGAGACTCCCTTGAGTCGGGAGACCAGACTCGGCCACAACTTCCAGAGATGGTAGATCGATCCTCAACTATAAGGCGACCCGATGGCTCAGTTGGTATGGCGTTGGTCTTGCCAGCGCTGACAGACTGCCGGTGGTGGTTCGAATCCCTGCTGGTCCACTCGGGAGTCTCAAGTGCGACCCGTCGAAAGGCAACGGGCGCCGACCACAAAAAAGATCGATCCTCAACTATACTATAGCAGCCAACTTCGCGAGATGGCATTTGTGGACTGAAGTTTGCATGTCTTTCTCACAAGAGATTTTACAATTTGGTGCATGCAACGTGCACTGGCGGTGAAGTTTTGGTGATAGTTAGTGATCGAGCCAGCTTTAGCTCAGTCGATCAAGGAGGAGTCCGAAGAGTTTACAACACTACTCATGACTGTCATTGGGGCTACATGGCCACAGCACAAAGGATGACACGCACAGAACGAGAGAGTCAAAATAAAGAACCCGATGCAATTTACATGTGAAACCACATGGACATTTCTGCACAGGAAATTTGTGTGATCATGTGCAGGCCCTGGTTCAAAACAATAGCGTCCGAACTTTGCTTCGCAAAATGTGAATTCTTCGTGTTTTTTCGCGCAATGTGGATTTGGAAAGAAGTGCTCGCTCAATGCAATGTGGCAATACATTGACAATGATGATGTACGTGACGCACTGATTGCATGTCACACCAGCAGTACAAATGCTCTACCTGTTTTGGAAACTTGCCTCAGCCTTGAGTATGAACTTGCCTGGAATGCCTGGGTGACGCGAGTACCAACGGAATCAAACATTGCTGACGATCCCTCACGCTTTATTCTCCAGTCACTGTGGTTGTGCAAGAGATGTTTTTTGACTGTAGCGAAATGTGGCAGGTCATGTCGACCAGAAAATGTGGAGGCGTTTCGGCCTGACATGCCAACCCCACTTTGTCAAAAGACGCTTGCAGCTTGTTGTGTGTGAGGGTCAGCAAAGTGTGGCTTTAATACAGCAAACTGAAGGCAAACGATTTAAGTTTCAGTTTGATGTGCCAACCGAACGAATTTGAATCTCAAGTTCAATGTGAACGTCAAACTTTGTCAATGTGACACATGTCTCAGTTGTTCATGTACATGTTGTAACATGGTTTCTTTGAAAAAAATCGTCCCGCCCTCAACCACCCTGAATGGGTTGGGAGAGGCGCCATGCCCAAAGCCAGGCGTTTGGACCTGACATGCCAACCCCACTTTGTCAAAAAATGCTTGCAATTTGTTTTGCGTGAGGGTCAGCAAAGAGTGGCTTAATGACGTTTTCTTTCACGCAAAATTTTGTGCGATGTCTTAGGTTGGGGTCGATTCGACGGACGTTTTGATATATAAATATAATTTTTGACAATTCTTGCAGCTGTTTACCTCAAAGTGTTGGAATTTTCATGATACACCAAAAAAATGTTGGTCACTTTTTCGGCACTTCAGTGGTTCTGTGGAATGAGAATGAACGTGTCGTTTCATAAAACAAAGTGACAACGTGCAAACTTTCGTAACCATGAAATACCATGAATGGCCCACAAACGTCATGAATTTGAGAATCAACAACTGCAGATCTGTAAGTGCAAACGCGAAATTACTATGTGACCATGGCCATGACATCGTTGCAGCCTTTTCGACATGCCGAACCAGGCCTGGTTGGAAATATGAACGGTCACGTTGTATCGAAGTCTTCGCTTGATGTGAGGCTGATTTCAATTTTTACGCGGTGCAGGCATTGGCAAGATTCATTCCACCAATGTTCTCCCCAAAAATGCAAGTGTTCATGCATTTCAGGCAGCGATCCTGTTTTTTTTGATTTGGTGGTTCTTTGCGCCCATTCAAAAATGGGCTTTGGCAAGGCCGGGATTTCAATGTTCGAAGTCAAACAATTTGTTGACAATGCAAAATTGTTTCAATTTCGATGGATTGAAGGTCCTGTTGATTCTGATTCCGTTGACGAAATTGCCACCTGCCAAAAATACTTGTAAACGCCAGGTACCAGATTGCCCATGCTGCATATTTGAAGGTTGGCCATGTGTTTTTCCCATTGCACAAACACATAGTGTTTCCCAGCATCACAAACCAGGTCTCAGATCGAAGAAAACGGCTTGAAACCCACCGAGACCTCGTCCGTTCCTGTGGTGATGATTTGATATGAATTTACTGTTTGTTTCTGGTTAAATTTTGCTTTCCATGAATTCAGGATTTGAAACCACATGATGAAGGACAATGTCTTGAGGAAATGGAGGTTCATGGGCGTGGTCAATACTGTCTATTTGTTTGAATTTGTTGGAATTGTCCCACAGGTTGAATTTGATAAGAAGCAAGAACACCTCGCAGGCTTTGGATGCACATGTGTCACAACATCACCACAATTTGTCAACATTTTGTTTTATCAATTTCGTATATTAATTTTGGTTGTTTTCAAACAAAATCACATTTTGTTACAATTTGATATTCCAGACAAAATGAAACTGTTCAGAACATTAACATTGTTTCCAGCTTGCCCAATTTGGGTCTGGATGCATCACAGGCCAAAGCGCGCGTCAAAGAAAAGGCAAACATGCAAAAATGCAGGTCAGATGTAGACTTCATGCAGCCCCTGCAGCGATTGATGTAAATTCGAAAAAATGAAACACATGTCAATGAACACCAAACCACGTATTCGAAAAAAATCGCCCGTTGCTGCTCCAATTCAGGAACTTTCGGCAGCAAAATTGCTTGAAACTGTCTGAACCTTACAAACACAAGACTCTGGAAAAAGAAAATGACAATTTACATAATTTACACGCGAAATTTGGGCAACTATATGTGATGATCCAGTGGATTTGGGGGTCATTTTCAGACCCCATATGGACTATGGAAATCGATGGAAATCGGACAAGTGAAATCTTTCCTGGACATTTTGGAGTCTTGGAGGTAGTTTCATCGGACTCTGCGTCCAGCGAGGAGGCCATGTCACATGATGGAAGCCGTTGAAACCGGAAATTTTCACAGGGAGTTTTCATGGCAGGTGGAAGTCCACGATGATTGCGGCCATCACGGCCATCATGATCAAGATGAGAGTCATCAAGGCAAATGATGTTCCCTCTACAATTTTGATTGAACACTTCCATGTTTTTGGTTAAGAATCGCAGTTCTTATAAAGTGGAAACATCAAAACTGAGTGAAATTAGTTTGTTGAGAGATTCCAGATGGATTCTGGGCAGCAATCAAACCATGTATTCAGTGGTCGCAGATGTTGTTTACGAATTGTGTTCAATTCTCAGAATTTCTTACCAAACCGTATTGTTTCTAAATGATCAAACTGAAATTGGCTGGCACTTTGCCATACTTTGAATGCCCAGGAGCGAAAGGGTCACTGCTCTCCAGGAGTTCAGAGGCAAACTTCACCTCACTATGTATTCCGTGCACGCTGCTGCCATGCTAATCTGCACTTGCGATGCTGACAGGTGTCCATCATGCACGAACTGCGACCTGGAAAGGCATGAAAGACATGGGCATTGAAGCAGTTGATTAGGTTAAATTTGTTGAAGCAGTTGAAGCGGCGATTGTGTTGTATGGGAACAGACATTTCTTTCAGCAGGCTGATCAGGCTGCATTAGATGCTGTTAGAATGCTGTCCTTTGAGCTTTTCGAGTGCGATGTGTTCACCTGGCATGTGTTGCGTTGCTTAAACACTGCCTCAATTCATCTCAATTCAATTTTCAGAGATCCTGTTGGATGTGTCTCAAATTGTCTCAAGCTCCACAAGTTGTTTGCCATGTACATTGTAATTTGCACGACAGGTGGGAAGTCATCTCCAAGAAGAATCGCTTGAAGGTTTCAAGCTGTTTGAGATGTGCCAGCCTTAGCTCTTTGCATGTCCAAAATGCTGTTACGCCACAGCGTGGCAATACGCAGTTTACTTTTCTTTGTATCCGCCATGTTGGTGCCTCCATATTTGCGAGATCGTGTCTTTATCTCAAATTGCGCTCTAAGGGACAGGTTGTGACTGGAAGGCAGGCGGAAAATTGAAAGAGTCAGGATTGCGCTGCATGCATTGTGCAGTTCGTCATTGGCAGAGCTCTGAAGGCTATTGGCTTGGTTCTGTACAGAATCCAGCAGCATGTGCTTCAGGTTCAAGTCTTAGAGCTACAAAGTAGGAGTGCAAGCTGCTGAAAAGATATCAGAAAGTTGGCCAAACCACGGTTTCCAAAAAGTGGAAGAAGGTCAGATAAATATAGTCAGTCTCGCAAAACTTTCTCAGGTGGTCTATGTTGGGGTGTCAATAGAGTGCCGACGGCAACATGTTGGCCGTGCTTTGGTGTGCTTCTTGGAATGCTGGGAAATAGTTATTGAGCATAGCTGCAATGACTTCGCTGAGTTCGTTTCAGGTGAAATCCGTGAAAGAACTGTCCAGGTGGGTTGGAAGCATCTTCGAATCTGCGAACGCACTTTTACATACTTTTACGTGTGAAGGATTGTGAAGGACTTTACATTCTGCCAGGAAAGACCTGAGCTGTTCAAGTGCGGTGGCAGTGATCCAGAAGCATATATCTCCAGAGGCACTTCGGCAGGGATGATGTGTCATGCTATGTCCATGATGTCTGGTGGAATTGGAATAATTTCTTGCCTTTACGCGTTTTACATTGTCCTGTCCTCTGTGTTGCTGTGAAAGGCAGTGATGTTCTTTAGAGCGGTCGGCTTCAAAAAGGAGGAGCTCAAAGGAGGAGATGGGGAGAAGGTGCCATTGTGACACTGATATTGGGCCAATTACTGATTTGTTCTTTTTGTGAGTCAACTTGTCGAGCTTAGGTTTTCTTGCGGATGGAAATTAAAAGACAGGGTAAGCGTTTGCAACTCAGAACCAGATCACAGAACCCACGCAACTTTCTAAACATGAATTCAAAGGAATTTAAAGGAATTTTAGCAGTTCTATACTGAGGCAAGTCTGAAGGGTCTTCTACTTAGCTCGTCTTATTGTCGTTGCATGCAGTGCCAATTCTTGCAAGTGGGCCAATGCGATCCAGCACTGTAATGCACAGATGCCGTCAAGGTCTGGGAGTTCATCTCAAGGCACCTTTACTCTGTCTGGTGCTGCCGGAGGTTTTGCCAAGCTGGGACCGTCGCAGGAGGGCTATCTCTTCTCCTTTGGGAAGAAGTTCTAGCGCAGGCCTCTTGACACACTTATTATTTTTCATCTATAATTCGTATACTCATTCATATATAGTAAATACTTTGCTCGCATCAGAAAGCCATTGTCAATTAGAGGAGAGAAAAGAAACATAACACATTTGCTGCGTTATTCCTTGTAGACAACATTTTTCTGGCTCAAAGCAATCTTTCGCACTAGTATGCACAAAGTGTGCAGCAGTCGCAAACACAACTTACATCTCGTAACCATTAGTCTTTTGAAAGGAGATGGCGACTTGTTTCCGTGTAAACAACACCACGAGTTCTATCAGTTATCGATTTCTATGTAGCTTGCTTAGCTTGACTTCTCTGTAGCGGCTCTGTAGCGGACGAGCCTCGCCTCGACCTCATAGTTTTGATCCATGGTCCATGCATGTTGCCCACGCGGCTGTCGCAATATGTTGAGCTAAGGTCGCAGAGCAGAATGCCAGTTGACTCTGTTTGGAACCACAGATATTGTACTTGTAAGTATGATAGTGGGTAGCCAGTGCGCAACTGGATGTGACCATCCGGACACTGGAAATGCTTGATCTCCTGGTGTTTCTAGAGCGGAGTGGTGGAACCAGCTATGACTGTGCTTGCCGTCCAAGTGCTCAAATTGCTTTCATTACATAATTCACACACACACACAAGAATCCGGGCAGAAACTGGAAGGATATGCACATTTTGAAAATCATTTGTTTCGACAACAAAGAAACACATCTAGATGAGCAGTTTGTAAATGATCGTGTTTAAGCTTCTCTTCCCGTGTGTTCCTACTATTTTGGGCAAAGATGGGTGTATATAGGCATCAAAACACAGTGTTTTGACATAAGATCCATTGATGCACCGATGCACTATGAACGGACTTTTTGACAAGACCAGCCCTTTCTAATAGAGTCAATAGACCATGGACCCTGTCCACGACGTCAAAGTCGGTGAAAAGTGAAGTGGGTATGAGTCAAAATGTAAGACCTGGGGGACCACAGATTTCAGTCTATTCTTAGCATTCATCATCCCATTATTGGGGTACTCAATTTTGACCCATACCCAAGTCGGTGTAGAAATATTGGCCAGGAGCACTAAAGCGTCCGATTTGTCCCGTGAAACTTTCTAACGGTCTTGAAACGAGGGAGTTTGCAGACATCGCAGACATCATGTAATTCACCCAATTTGCGATAGGCAATGCCATGGGTAATCGGGTAGGCACGTGAGCATGGAACACATCGACCTGGATGTTCACTCGCCGGAGTTCTTGGCCTCGCTCTCTTTATCTTTCCAGAACTTGCTTGTGCAGAAGCGGTGCAACAAAAAGATCCGACCGACCGAACGACCAAGTGAACCAGGCAGATCATATGGATCAAGCCAAGCCTGTGGCTGGAGTCTGGTCCTTTTGATGAATCTCTTCATTGCGTTTCAGATGGACGGTTTTTGGAGGCTGTCACTTCCGTGGTTTGCGCTTCAACCACTTGGGAGCTTCATTGTGAAGTTGGGATCTGTGTCTTTGTTCATCCTGATTGAGTTCTTCTATGCTTGCGCAAGTCTTGTTGATCCTGGCAGTCCTGGCAAGAAAGATGTTATTTCAGATAAGTCAGATAGGTGGTGCAACTACTGCATGGCCCCAAAACCAGACAGGTGTCATCATTGCAGCACTTGCCGTCGTTGTGTGCTTCGCATGGACCACCATTGCATCTTTACCAATTCGTGCGTTGGCCTACGGAACCAGCCACATTTCCTGGTCTTCGTTTTTCTGACCATGTGTGGATCTGGTCTCTCTGCACTGGCAGCAGCTCCACAAATAACTGCGGCAATGGCACTGAGCGGAGAACGCACAATGAGACAGGTTCATCTCATTGGTGTGTGCCTATCTGCAGCCATTGCCTCCTTTCTTCTTTGGAATTTGCTATTGGCTCAGATGCACTTGCTTATCAGGAATGAAACAACTATTGAGAGTTCGAAGAACTGGGCAGATCGCTGTCACAGCAGCTATGACCGAGGAGTCCGGGAGAATATTGCTGAGGTTTTCGGCTCAAATGTCGCCGGATGTATCCCGAATTCTGTCTTTGACATCTTCGACGGATTGGACCAATTTCTCGCAGATTCATGATAGTGTGTCAACAGACCTTATCAAGGGTTGCTGACTCTTTGATTCCGACAAAGTTCGCTGCTCTCATAAGATTTGTCAAAAGATCCGTGGACAGGGAGTATGATGAGTATGGTCATGATAGTCATGCTTCTGTGCAGTACTGCAATGTGGCAATGTTAGGTCCATCCCGTGCCGATCGAACGTGCTGAGGCTTTGGTGTCCGAGATTCGTCGGAAATTGGGGCCCGGATTGAAGATTGTAATCCTGGCTGATGCAGGCTGGACGACGAGCTTTGGGTCCTTGGGGTTTCATTGTTTTGTGGCCTCTGGTTTCAAACGGAGCAACAATTAACACGGGAAGCACACACACACATAAGAACAACATTGAGCATTGAACCAATCTGTTTTGGACACTTTGGAATTGGGCATGAACTTATGAAGTCTCGACTGCTTTGTTGGGCACAGTCTGATAATGCCACGTCCTTAGGAATCGCGGCGAAAAGGTGAGTGTGTGAAACGAAGAAAATGAGAGTAGGGCAGTTACACAGTATGATCAATGTGGCTTTGCTTTGCGGATCTTTGGCCCAAGCTGAACTTCCAAACAGAACTTCATGTCTGCAGGAGGCTGCAGTTGCACAGAAACCCGAGCTGCTTGCGAGCTTGAAAACTTGTCCTGTTTGGAGCATTTTGAAACTTAACCTAGAGAAAAAAATCTTGCACACGGCAGACATTAGACTTTTTATGACTTTCCAGCTAACACCCTGCCGGTTACTTCCGACCTGTTCAATTTCCTTGGATGGTGAGAGCGCTGCCTCCATAAGCTGCAGCGATGAACAAGGCAACTGGCTGCTAGCACTGTGAATATGGCTGTGATCGTTAAAAGGTTGGGGCTGTCTTTGTTGCGTTTCTATCCAAGTGGTGAGTCATATTTAGGTCTTCTCACCCACCTGACCTAGCAGCAGGATCAGTTTCTGGTTTTCTCCTTGATGATGTTCTCGCTTGGATTTACTTGTGGCTGACCTGGTTGCTATTCCACTTGCTGGCGAGACTTCCTTATTGTATTACATAAGGAGAAAGATGGAGAAGTGGTGTGCGTTTCTTTGCCTATCTGTCAAGCTCAATCTGCGGGTTGCTCGCAAGGCACGTGCAATGCTCGATGCCCTCATGGGTCCTGACCTCGGCTGGTGACTGGTCGTGGGGTGACCTTAGCGACCCGGCAATCTGACCTTGGCAACCTGGGACCAGAGACTGTCAGATAATCGTAGCAATCGTAGCAAGCGTGCAGCTTGCCCTGCTACTTGGGTCACTCGGACCGCGGGGGGCAAGGGCTCTTTGCATGTTGTGTGAACGTACACGCGAAGCTGCAGGCACTCCTGCTGCATTTTTTGAGGAGGCAGAACCTAGCATTAGTTTTTTTTTGAAACAGAGATTCAGAATACTTTCCTACTGTCTAACTGGCCCGAAGCTGTACCAGTCCAAAATTGGCCCATGTTTGATTACAAACACAGCAGGCCTTTATCTTACATCATTTCAAATCAATGCCAGGGCATCTTAGCAAGTGGCCAACTATGACCTACTAGTATGATGAAACCAGACGTTTTCACAATCGATCTTCTACCATGCATGTAGAATATACGTAGTAGAATCATGCGTTTCTAGATAGTATTCGATATAAGCTATGTGCGTACCTGTTTCACAATTCCTTATTGCGAGTCCAAATAGGAGTGCACCAATCTCCACACAGTCAGGTCTCCTCACCAAGGGCCCGTAACCCTGAACCAGTACCCTGCACCTAAACTGCAAATCTTAGAGAACGCCAAATCGCCAAATGTAGATCTAAACAAAACGAACGAATCTAACTGCTTCAGCACCACGCTTTCCCTTGTTTGCTGCACCTTGCAGAGGAAAAATGCCAAAAAATAATTTTTTGCGTCATTAGCTTGTAAGGGATTTTTGCTACACAAAGCTGAGCGGGTTTCGGTAGATCCCCAGGATTCTTGTGTGAGTCTCCACTGGTCCATCCCTTCTCTGCAGGCCCCCAGCGGGACCAAAAGAAGGATGAGAATGCGGAGGATTGGAAGGTGCGCTTTCCATCGCTTTCCGTCCAGTTCAATCATTTCGTGGAACCGAAGGCGCTGATTGTGTTCACCTTGTGGAGTTTTGTGACGTAGTGCGGTCGCTGCGGGGGAGTGACCCGCCCGGCCAGGACAAAAGCATTTGTAAGGGTAGCTTTGCTGCAAAGCTGAGCGATCCTTTCGAAGGCATTATATAGGTGATATTTTTAAACCCGAAAGCAAGGTTGGATCAGTTTGCAGACTTGGTCGGTATCGGTGTTGTGCTTTCAGGTTTTCTTGTGGGCTTCTGTCCTTTCGATAAGGCCAGAGAAATCGTGGTCTTGTTGCAAGACTTGCTCTTTTGCAAATAGCTTTGCTCTCTTTTTGCTTTTCGCTTGTGCTAACCCCGCCGTCAGTCTGTGGTCGGTGGCAAGCGCTCCATGGACCCTTGCGACAAGATTCACTCCGAGGTATGGGGACTGGATCTGAACATGAACAGTATTTGATCTGAAGTTCCCGAATCTTGAGACCACGCGCATGTCAGTGAAAGCGGCTTCCAAACACGAGGTGATCCGAGAAAAGTTTGATGCTCACAAGGATGGCCAAGACGGCAGTGAACTTCGGAACAAGTACGAGGTTCCGCAAAGCTTTTTCGAACACTGCAGAACAGCTTGCCCTAAAGCCTTTGTTCTGGGAGTGTACCTGAGGAGTATTCCATTCGTGACTTGGAGTTTGCGATCCAAGAGGCTGAGGCTGGCAGTCGTAATCGGATGTTAGATAGATTAAATTTTGATTAAATAGATCGACACAGATCCATGGCTGGATACTGCTGGATATTGCCGAGAGCCAAACTATTTTTGACCATCCCTATTGGCCCATATTGGCGCCAGCGGCCGAAGAGGTCTAGCCATCAGAGAAGAGAGAAGTTACTTTGATGTTCGGCATTGGCTCTCTGAATAATCACCCAATCTGAAGACTTTGTTGACTTTCTTGACTAGCATAAGCAGGTGCTGAGGACGTGCTTCCAAACCGCTAAAGTTTTGAACCTTAGCCACCTCTCAAAGGCCTATGGTCGAAGAGAGGTTGAGAGGCTGAGGAAAGAACCAAGGCAACTGGGCCGGGAGCAGCGAGATTCGCTCTCCGCCAAGTTTACAAAATCGCAGAATCGGACGGTGCGGTGTCGGGGACATGGCTTCAAAGCCTGTGAAATACCCCCAATTGCAATGCAGTGCTCCCTTAGTCCAGGCATCGGTATACGGAAGGACTTTACGAAATGGCAGGAACAGGCGGGTGATGGTCCTGAAAAAACCCACAAATATTTGCAATTTGTGTTTCGGGTCCTTCTTTGGTGGGGCATATAATATAATAATATTAATTTAATAATATAGTATAATATAATCTAATATAATATACTGTAATATTAAGGTCCATGACAGTATAAGCAGAGAAATTCTCTGCGCCATACCAGCTAATTAAATAATGCAAGACACGTCTCTTTCCTGTCTCTTTTTCACCTGACTATGCAAGGTCCAAAGCTCTCACAGCGGATGTGAACCAGCTCCTCGACAGCATTGTGTCGATGAGTCAGAAAACATTTTGCCTTCCGATATCCCAATTGACATTCTCACATGCCTAAGGAAGATCTCACAAATGAAGAGGGAAAGTCTGCAGTTGGAGAAGAAGCGGGGCTTTGGTAGTCGGAGATTTTGGGTTCAGACCGGGATTGAGGAAAGCGGATCATACATTTGCCCAGTTTGCTTCACAATGAATTTCGGAGGCATCCTTTCTCCAGGAAAGGAAGACTTGGGACACAATGCTCTTATACTGATGAGTAGACCCAAGGACTGTTTTCTGCAATCAAGGAGTGTAATTACTGTAAGTATACTCAAAGGTTTAACGTTCGTCTTCGGATTTGATCACAGTTTTAAGAGCAGGGAGTCTATATGTTGATATGGCTGAGTGTCAACCTTCAGCATTTCTCTGATGGGCATTGTACTTTCCTAGTCTTAAAATTCTTAAAACACCTCTAGGAATAGAGGCTTTACAGGCTTTGCAGTGTGTGTGTGAACCATCTGAAGAGATGTAAAACGTCTCTGTTGGAATTCCGGTATTCTGTTTTAGGTTTTGAGGTTTTGATTTCATTTCATTGCATTTTAGAACTGCATAGGGGCAATCTCATGTTTGCAGATGATTGCCCAACGAAGAGGGCTGCATTCATGACTGATATGACTCTGGGGCGCTGGAGTCATGTACCTGCTTTTTCAACCTCATTTCTTGCAGAACTTCATTTACCGTGCCTGGCGACCGGCTAAGCCAAGAACCGGCATGTCGAATTTCAACAAATTTGCTTCAATTCAGTTATTTCCTGGTACAAGCTGCACTGTTGCCTCAATCTGTGAAACCTTTTTGTTAGTGTTTCTGACTGCTTTCTTTTTCCTTTTTGTGTCTGCTGATGTGTCATTCTCATTCAAGTTTCACTGCCGCGCACGATTTCAGTCTCATTGTTTTACACCTTCTCATGGCACTACGAACTGTTGTTGTTTTTCTTGAACCGGTGGTTCTTTTCTAGTTTCAATCAACTGGGATTTCTGATACCAAATCAAATCCTGCGGTCTTGGAGATGTCCTGTTGTGGAACCTCCTCTTATTGCACCGCGTGCCGCGTAGCCTGTTACAGTTATCACAGCTGACCAGTCAATTGCGTACGAGTGTTGAGGTTGAAACCATGGCCGACTCTGACTGCTCTTGTTCGCCTTTGCCCTTATTCCCTTGCTTTCCCAGATGGTGTGGCCCCTATGGGCTCAGCATGGCTCAGCAGTCCGGTCCTTATCGACCATAGCAAGACCTCAGAACGTACCGAAGTCGGCCACCGTGCAAGCCGGGACCTTATGGGATGGGACGTATGATGACTCCGAATCCTCGATCTCTTCCACCGAGCTGGACTATGCCTAAACCGTTTCCACCAACTCCACCGTCCATGCCTCCACCACCATGTTCCCTACATCTCAAACTTCAATGTGTTCTCCGACGCAGCCTTGCTCACCTTCTCAGCCCGGTCCCATGTCACCAAATCAACAGGCACCACACCTCGTCGCTCTCCTTCCAACTCTGGCACAACAGAAGCTTCCAGAGTCTATGGGTTTGACCTTAACGAAAATTGGCAGGGGGACCGGGAACACAATGACAACCAGAAGGTCAACGGCTTGACCTTCCCCAGAAGAGTGATCAGGTCTTCAGCCTTCACTCAAAAGTTAGCGAAGGCTGTGATCCTCTTGCTCTACCAGTGGCAGCCTTGCTCTACCAACAAGCCAACAATCATTGGCTTCGAAAACTGGCCCATGAGAGGGAGTTGTATCTCATCCTACGGGAGATATGGCGGCCGTGGCGTTTGCGACGGAATTACTCTCAGTTGAGCAATATAGAGGGATCGACCTCGACTGTGTCTCCCAGGTCAGAGCCAGACAGGATGGGAAGACACTGGACAAAATCTCGAACACCAAATTTGCGGCACAGCTCATTGCAGAGCACATTCAAGGATGGCTTCCGCTTCGTTCCATCGACCCAGATTTCCAGCATGAGATCACTCACCTCCGAAGTCAGTTGGCAGAATTACGCCAACGACTCGGGGACGACCCTTCAGATGTATCCACCCCACCTCGTACGGGTCAACAAAGTTCCTCCTCTCAAGCCACGCCCATCCAACGCGCCTTGATGGGTTCCGGAGCTCCTGCGCCACCTGCTTTTGATCCAGCTTGCATTCTCACCACTCCACGTCTTTCCAACGTTTGGCTCACCGATAATCTACCATCGGGCCTTGCCGATCGTACTTTTGCAAAGTGGCTCAAAGACCTCCCTGTCTCCGGCACCCAGCGCAGTTTTCTCGTTTCCAACATTGCCAAAGCTGACGCATGGTGGTCAAATCAACCTGCCGATGCCATTGAAACAGTCCAAAAGGTCGCAGTGATGATGGGCATTCCTGTTTGTCAACTTCAAAAGAACTTCAACGCCATGAATCTCATCAAGGTTTTGACGGTGGCGATCACTATGACAAATTGACTAGCTCCGCTTCTCCGGAAGAAGCTTAAGCACAAAGTCCTTCAATCCTACCTTCACCTTACCCATTCGATGATATTGGTGCTGCACATTTTTGACTCCCTTCGCCACGTCTCTCTTTTCCAAGGGTTTCGCATTACGCAACCCCGTACTATGGTGCTGTCCATCATACATGGTCTCAGACCCAATCCCAAGTTGAAGGCGATTTTGCTTCTGGGGCTCTACCCTGGCTTCCCACAACTTCTTTTCGCAGGAATTCTTCCCTGTGTATATACCCGATTCACCCACATCACCAATATGCAATCCAAATTTTTTATTGGGTCTGCCATGCACCACTCCTGGACCGGGAGTACAGCCGATCCAGAAAGTATCTTCAGCTCCGCAACGACAAGCTTGTTCAAGCTGAACTCGCTCTTCGGTTCTGGCGTGAGCATCAAAATCTCTACTTTTGGGCCCCGATTCCTCTTTGTGTCTGTCGTGCTGACTATAGATGCCTTGAACTTACACTCATTCAAGAATGGTAACCTGGCGCTGGAGTCATGTACCTGCTTTTTCAACCTCATTTCTTGCAGAACTTCATTTACCGTGCCTGGCGACCGGCTAAGCCAAGAACCTGCATGTCGAATTTCAACAAGTTTGCTTCAATTCGGTTATTTCCTGGTACGACTCTCTGGCTATGGCGATGGTAACTTATCAAGTTTTTCTGGCCTATTCATTGACCCATTCCTGTCTGTCAGGTGTAATGGAAGTGTTTTTGCACGCCAGATGCATTTCACAACAGAATTCGCAATGACAATTCTGAGCAAGTGTGTGGGGAGAGTCTGTTGGTCTTTTGATTTGGTGCGGTGAGATTCAGTGAGACGATTGCTCTTTCGTTTGACTGTTGAGAGCCAGGGCCAATGCCCTCGATGATTGCGATGCTCGGAAGAAGGCGCGGCCACAGGGACAACGTGTTGCGCGACATAAGGTCACGGTGGCTTCAACGGGCATGGCTGCTGTATCATTGGCATTCCAAGACATTCTGTGAACCTTGGCGAGGAAGAGCTGATGAAGCAATCAAGAGAAGTGGAGGATGAGGCCAAGAAATATGAAAAGGACTGCAGCGTATGGCACCGCAGCAGTGGAAACTTCTGACAAAGGTAAGGTGCACCCACATCCATACATCCTGGTTGATGGAGAAAACAGGTGATGAAACTCTTTTATTTTGTTCCGCACGTTGAGTCAGCTTTGGGTGCTGGGTGCAGCGAGGAAGAGGAGGAAAAGGTCAAGGCAAACTTTCGACCTCTTGCCTGCGAGGCACAAAGCTGGCACCAGTTTTTCGAGCCTTCCGAAAGTATCCCCCGTCAGTGCTGTATAGATTTTACAAATTGTACATGCTAGTTTGTGGCAATTTCTTTCATCTGCCAGGAATGCTCCTGTATACTTGTTCGCTCAGGTGTGCGGAACTGCGTATGTTAGCCAGTGGCCAAGTCAATGGTTCCCTTTTGAATCCTGAGCATGACATGAGGGTAAGAGTTTGGATTTTGCTGTCCTTTAGGAACTAAGTTCCAAGGCAATGAAGAAGGTGAGTACGAAGCTCACCTCAAGTACAAGGCACTTCCAATTTGAGCCCTTGCATGCCCTTGTTCTCAGGAAAGGATTGTGGGGCCTTGGCCTAGCACGCTTTACTGATGCCATTCTTAAACAGAAAGGTACGCATAGGAACGGGATGTTACGGGCCACTAAAATGCGATCACAGATGGGCACTGCGCTTTATGGCATTCTTCGTCAGGTCCATGAATCCTACACGGAGATCCATGCTCGCCTCAAGGAGCTAAAGGATAAGAAGGTTGGATTCCCGATGAAACATGTTGAAACATCATATGAGGATGAGAAAATATGAGAAAGAAGCAAGGCCTGTTCAATTTTTATCCTGTCTCCAGTTGATATTCCTTTCAACTTGAAGAGCATGACACCAATGGCAAACAAGGCCGAGAGAGACCGGATTGCGAAGGAGAAAAAGGCCCTTGCCTTTTGAATGTTTTGCAGCAATGCCAAAGATGGTCTCGGTGCTTGGCTCTTTCGATCTTCTCATGATTGTGTCATATCCAGATTGTACTTGCAGCCACAGGAAGAAGAGCGGAAGAAGAGGATGGAGGAGGAGGGGAAGAAGGCTTGGCAATCATGATCTTTTGCTCGTGCTGAATTGGCTGACCGGCCAAACATGTTGAATCAACCACACTTGGACTATAAACATCATTTTCTCTTGTTGTAGGGCTGCTTGATGATCTGTTGCAGAGTTTTCAACAAGAATATCACATAGTCTCAAGTTCTGTGTTTGATTTAAGCGAAACCATCATTTCCTATTTGGAGCGATATTTCTGATGAGCAGCATCTGACACGGCCCGGTTTGTCCATGTTACATGAGCCCGATATCCAGCTCACAATTCTTTGCGCATATGCCACAGACTTGTCGTGCACCCTAAGAAGATTTTCCAAGCTGTGCTTCCGTGTAACTGTCCGCGCCTGCTCCTACTGTTCCAAACAAGATTGAAAACGATTCGAAATGCGGACAAGAACTGTGCTTTTCTTGGTGAAATTGTTCCCCCAGGCACACCACGAGCAGAGTCCAAGACAGTTCTGCAGCATGCGGGTGTAACAAATGTGGCCCAAAAACATTAGCTCAACAAACCACAGAATTCTTAAAAGTGTTTTACACAAACAATTGGCATGCGTCATCGAACTCACTGCAAGACCACAGAGAAACAGAAGCGCAGGGACATCACAGCGTGTGCAAATGCTTGCCCATGCTCTGACACATATCTACAACACACACACACACATCATTACACATATAAATAAATAAATAAATAAGTAAACAAATAAATAGATAAATAAACAAATAAATAAATAAATAAGGAAATAGATAAAAATAAATATGTACATAGATAAATAAATCAATAAATAAATAAATCAATAAATAAATATAATATATATATATAATATATATATATAATATAAACAAATAAATAAATAGATAGATAGATAGATAAATAAATGTATAATATATATATATATAAATAAATAAAACAATAAATATAGATATAAATAGATTAATTGATAAGTATAAATATAAATATAGGTATATGGTAAAAATATAAATAACATATTTATTGTCGAAGGAAGTTTAGAAGTCAAACTTCCGACAATATGGACCGATGGAAAAGGGAAGAGTTAGAGAAGGGAAAGGAAGAAGAAATAAGAGAAGGAAGAAGAAAGAAGATCCGAGAAGAGGAAGGGTCAGAAGAGAAAGGTGAAAGAAGATCCAGGTGCGATCAAAGGTAAGAAAGTCGCAAAACACTGTGTTTTTCCAATGTTTTGTGGCTGCGGAGGGTCGAAAGGCGGGCTCGCTAAAGCGGCAGGTGCGGAGCCATCTGGTGATATGAGAGATGAACAATTGCACGCCGCAGTTGCGCGAAGCAGATTTGAAGTGAAAATGCCAAAAACGCATCATTGTCGAAGCACTGTTGGAAGTTGAGATGTAGAACAGGCCACACGACTGTGGCGCGAAGCACATTTAGAAACCAAGACGTTAAAAACCCCTTGGGTTCGGAGCACGTTTGGAAGTTGATATGTTCAAGAAGTGCACGGCGTTGTGGCGCAAAGCAGATAGATAGACAGATAGACCGATAGATTAGGTAGATAAATAGATAGATAGATAGATAGATAGACAGATAGCCCGACACTCCAACCACCTTTCGATCCATCAGTGGGTTCGCTCTGCCACCATGCATCACAACAAATCACCTCTCTCATAGGTTTTCTATTTTTGAAATTTCCGCTACCGCCTTGCGCGGTAGTACTGGGAATATAAACGCACAAATTATAGAAAAACAATGAAAAACAAATACTTTCAATGTATGTTGGTATGCTCCTCATGACATATATTTGGTCTGCTTCAACCCCCAGGGCGACGAAGCGGAGGCCAGGCTTTGCTGCATAGCATTCCTGCGTAGCATCGATTCATTGTTGATTCATTGCAATGTCGATTCATGGTCTCATGAGGATGGCAAGGAGGACGAGAAAAAGAAAGAAAAATCCAGAACCAAGTCCAAAGCGAAGGCTGGGTGATGGAAAACCCAAAAATGTTTCAGTTGCTTTGGGAAACTTTAAGACAACTACATGATGCTTGGATCTTCTTCGCTTTGACCCACTCCCGCTTCAGCATTGAAAATTGAAGATGCTGTAGTCATTCCAGGGCTCGATTACTGATTAGGCTTGTTGAAGGTGGCTGGTGCGAATGCTGGTTGGTGCAGGGTGCATGGGCTCAACCTCTAGACTCTGATGTAGAAGGAACACTAGGTGGCTGTGGAAGCCGTCCTTGTTTGTGTTTTGCCTTTTTCCTGACACTCTGTTGCAACTACAGGGCAAGAACAGCCGTTCCAAATCGAGAAGGACAGCAAAATCTGCAGTGGTGTTGGTTCCCATCTTTACACATTTCCATTTAGCGAGATATCAAAGATGATGTAGATCTTGTTCAATTCTGCATACACGTTTCATAAGAAAAAATCCCTGACTAGGAGAGGCAGCAGAAGCCGGGATCGCAAGGGGAAGGACGATGTGCTTGACTGGTTTTCTGAAGGAAAAACTGAAGAACAATACGTCGCACACAAAACATGCCGTCTTAAATTGCGGCCCTGCAGGATCGCGACAGGGACCGCTCGCGCCGACGAAGCAAAAGGGAGACCTGGACAAGATTTAGCGAGTAGGATACGAGTAGAATTTGATGGTGGCATGTTTCCTCAGTCGATGAAGATGATGAAGGTTTGCTACATGAAGACATATGAAGACCTGTTGATCCGTTGCCTTCCACAAGGACCGGCGGAAGCGCAGCCGCAGCCGCAGCAGCCGCAGCTGCAGCCGGAGCCGGCGACGACGGTGAGCGTGGGACTTCTCATTAAAAACAATCCCGGCCCAACTTCACCGTGAAACATTGGCCTCACCATGCCTCGCCTTTACCAAGAAGACCGACAATCATCAGGTTTTTGGACTGAACGAGACTAAGAGTCTCATGCAATGGAATAGTTGTGTTGATAGCACACAAGCAGTCAGACAACTAGTGCAAAAAGCTCAGATGCTCAGCATTTCCTGCAAGAATTTGTTGAGATTGCACAGGTTGCACTTATATAGGATGGAAAACACTTCCGCGCGGAAGAAGCCAAAGACTCTGCTGTGCCGGTCAAAAAAGGCTGCTTGCAAAATGGAATCCCCGGATTCCAAATGGTACAACAAAATACCAGAAATAAATTCAAGATGATGGACTCTTGTGAGACAAGCCAAACACACAGCAAGAATTTGAAATAGGGATCCGAGCAGTGGCTGAATTCCTCCTGCATGCCACCAGCACCACATCATTTGTATTCATTTGTCATATACTATACTATGATACTATGTCTCAAGATATATTTGCCAACACTAGACTTTTCCATACATGAGTAGTCCTTGGGCGAAGCAGTAACCATGTGAACCAGACTGCCCCCTTTCAGGTTCAGAAGCTGAGGAGCTTGCCAAGCAGGCCTGCTGTTTGTGAAGCAACTTAGTGAATCGAAATGAATCGAAATCATTCTTTCTCGAGCTCGCACAGGTGGCTTTGCAATTGCAAGGAGCATTTCATCAAGCTATTTTCATCACGGGAGCGCTGCCAGGGGTTCAGGACTGCCTTGGTCCCCAGATGGATTTCTGTTTTTTTCTTTACAGAGTTTCACGTGTTTCACTCGGTCCAAGTTGTCTCTAAGTCAGAGTAAGACAGGAGAGCTTTGCAAAGAGTTGCAACCCCTCAACGACCAAGGCTCGCTGTGCTGAATGTTTCGACCGCTTTTTGTCAGATTTCGTCAGATATATTCTGCTTCAGGTCTACAAGTTGACTCCTGGCAGCTGCACATTAAATGGTATGGGTCTCAGAGGAGTGATTTATCATCTCAGTTGGTTCTGACCGCTTCGAACTATAAAAATCAACAAGACGTTCCATGCTAATCTTCTCTCACTCGTGGGCTGCTTCGCTTTCCAGGCCACACAGTCAAAGCTGGAACAACTTTGAGGGAAGTGCAGCCACAACCTTAGTCTTTTCTCATTTCATGGCCCTCCCTCTTTTGACTGCGGAGCTAGGAGTGTACTGGCGTGCATCGGGGACGTTTACATCACATTTGCAGGGGATCAAGAAGTGGCTGAGCAGGCTGACTAACTGCATCATTCTTCAGTTGATGCGCCAAAACACTGCTGCTTGGCCATCTTGGCACCCGTTGGCACCCGTTGGCACCCGTTGGCACCCATGGAAGGCTGGCATAGCATTTTCGCGAGGAGCAGCAGTGAGATGCTCGGTCAAGTCCTACGTCTTTGCAAACTTTTCAGACCTCTCAACGATCGAAACCACCGGACCGAGGTGGTCCCTGTGATCCGCACTGGTGGGGCCAGCTGCAGCCTCTGGTTTAGAAACTCAACAGTGTTTACTACAGTGTTTTCTACAGTGTTTTCAGTGGCAAATGAGTCATTGAAGGTGGATTGGGCACCTGTGTATTTTTCTTACATCAAAAGGGTAGATTGCACAAGTTGCAGGTTTTTGGCTGGCCCAGGCTCTGGGAAGTTTGGCTTTCCTGCAGCCGCATTAAAGAAGCCGGCCTTCCTTGGGAAGGAATCTCTGATATTTCTCTGACTTTCTCTGTATCCCCTTGCTCTGACTTAAACGTGCGGCTTCAATTTTTCTATGTGTCTTTGTGACTTCTGTGATTCAACAGGAGAATTGGTCCTTCATCAGCAGCACAGAAGCTTCCGATGTTGCCACTGCTGCTGCAATTGCTGCAAGAATCTTGGAAGATGGAAAACAGTAGCCTCTCAAAAGTGGTGAAGAAGTGATTGACCTTGAAGTATGCAGTCGCGAAGCTTTTTTGAAAAAGAGCTACTCAGCTACTTCCAGTGTCAGTGAGGCAGCTGTTGCTGGCTACGCGCGTGGTCAATCACGGTGCGAAGCAAGCATAGGCCTCAGTGTCTCCTCTATCATCGCCAACCTGGTTGTTTTGCAGAGCGAGCGAAACAAAGCTATGAGAGAGGACAAACATGGTAAAACCACTGATTTTCTTCGCCGTCGCCTTCAGGTTCTTTAATGACGCGCAGAGAGCAGGAAAGGACGGAGCGCATGGCTGCTTCGATGATGTCTTGGAAGGTGCACCACATTGCGACACTTAATTTAGGTTGAGAAGTTTGTAACGTCGTAACCTGTGGCATCCTCTCACTGGGTTCATTGCAAATTCGCACCCTCAGATGCCAGTGGCCTCCCAAATTACTTCCAAGATGACTCCAGGAATTTATCTACTGACTTGCTGGAATTGTCGACTCAAAGCATCATGGCGAACTTGCTTTGATGATATGATTGTATTATTGGACTTGTAACGTTATATATAATAATGGTAATTGATCAGTAAATTTCTTTATCACCAAATAGTTTCTTGCTGTCCGCGGATTGGATACGGGCTAAGCATACAGTTGACCAGAATTTGATGCTTGTCAAAGCCACACGCCGCTTCCAACATTAAAACATGCTGATCCACAGTTTCAATGTTTGGTCTGCTGGTACAAGATGCTCCTTATGAGTCTAGGGTGCTCCTATGGTGCGGTGATCTGGTGATTTGAGGCTTTGAAGATGTGGGTGCTGTTTTGGGGTGCTCTGTCCAAAGATAGCTGTCTTGAGATGTCTTGAGCCCTATCCCGTTCACATTCTCAGTAAGGGGCTGACAGGTTTGTGCGTGAGTCGTGAGTTCGCGTGAGTCCCTCATTGTTGCAACCTGCGAACACAAGAGATTGTCGTCGGCAGTGTTGCCCTTACGATTCATGCTTGGGACATCCAGGGTTTGTTCTGGGGATGCTGTCATAGTGAGGGAAAGGTCCAGGGTAATTTGCCAAAGTCTTGTACGAGCTGTCTGAGAAGTGTCCTACTGAGCCACGGCTGGGACTGCCGTCGAGGTGATATCCATGGTCTTGAGATTTCTTGGTTGGGACTTTTTCACACTGCCCACGTTTTTACAGTTTGAGAGTATGCAGGGTGTGCAGTTTCTATGTTTTCTTCTCTATGTCCTATTTTAAGATGGGGTCATCAGTCCAGAGTCAATATGACTGCATCTTCATTGTAGAGTGGAGTCTGTTTCTGGGTGACGGACATGTGGAAATGCCAGGCCCCACCATGGCTGTCTCCCTACATGCAAAAAATCAGCCCAGCTCTGGAGTTGAGTGGACACTTCATTTCAGCTTCTCAGCTTGAAGGAAAAGGGAGTCATTGCATCAACTGCACCCAAAATTTCTCGGGCCAAGGTAGTTGGCCCTCCTGTTTGTGGATTCTATGCTGGTCTCTACAATGGCTACAAGGCAGATGTCAGAATGCAGGAAATGTTTATACAAAGCATAGCAAAACCAAGGGATGATGCAATCGAGGCACTGCCCAGGGAAGCAGCCACTTGCTTGTGGGGTGCCCCTTGTCAAAGTGTTCCAGGATAACGCAACCACTAGCTGCAAAGCATTGTTTCTGTCGGATTCCACATGATTTCACAATATTCAACCTCTTTTATTCATCTTATTCGTCAACCAAGCAGCACAGTTTGAAGACTGATTGTCTCCTTCGCATGCCTTATGCTCAACAGCTTAGCAGAAAAGGGTCCCTTTTAGAAAGCAGACACGCTTCATTCATCATGCTGGGTGGTGCATCCATGACTCGCATGTTGCTTTTGACCACCCTGTTCCCTTGCCTTGCGGCTGACTCCCTCCGTGGTTTGGGAAGTGTTCCAAATGGCAATGTGACAAGCATGCAGAAGCAATTGGTTGCGGCCAATAGTACTGCAGGTGCGTGCACTGCTGCAGACCAAGCCAAGATGACGCAGCTTGGAAGTGGAAATGCAGATGGCACCTTTCCCAAAACCCTTTCCGACTGTGGCAAGCGAAACTACAACATTTTCTCAGGCTTCAACGCTCGCAAATTTGTAGAATGTGTTCAGGAAAACACTGGCCTAACCTGGGACTGTGGGACTTGCTTTGTGGGTCCAGCACGATATGGTGCGAACAACTGCAAGTGGTCATGCTTGTGGGGTTCTTGGTGCGGCCAAAGCTGCCTGAATTGTGTTGGGGAGGCGACCGCACAGTCACAGCAATGTGCAGGGCCAGGGGTGACTGTTCCAACGGCAAGTGCTTGCAGGTGAGTAACAAATTCAAATAGCCGCAATGCAATTTGCAGGATCTGCTTCTAAGCAGTTGCACTAATAGCAAGCTTTTGTGGCTGGCAAAGCTCATGCCATTTCGGGCATATGAGAGTAAACCTCTATGCCCACTTGTAAAGGATAACAGGCAAATACTTAAGCACAGTTCGAGCGCATTGCAGCCAAAATAGCAATTGGACAATAGGTCTGTTCTTGCCAGTCTTGCCAAGAGCTAATTGAGTTTTAAAAAAATTGGCGCTGTCGAGCTTTGGCATGGCATGTATTTTTTTGGATTTGCCAAGCAAGCAGCACAGATTGAGGACTGACTGCCTCCCTCGCATGCCTCATGCTCAACAGCTTAGCAGAAAAGGGTCCCTTTTAGAAAGCAGACACGCTTCATTCATCATGCTGGGTGGTGCATCCATGACTCGCATGTTGCTTTTGACCACCCTGTTCCCTTGCCTTGTGGCTGACTCTCTCCGTGGTTTGGGAAGTGCCCCAAATGGCAATGTGACAAGCATGCAGAAGCAATTGGTTGCGGCCAGTAGTACTGCAGGTGCGTGCACTGCTGAAGACCAAGCCAAGATGACGCAGCTTGGAAGTGGAAATGCAGATGGCACCTTTCCCAAAATCCTTTCCGACTGTGGCAAGCGAAACTACAACATTTTCTCAGGCTTCAACGCTCGCAAATTTGTAGAATGTGTTCAGGAAAACACTGGCCTAACCTGGGACTGTGGGACTTGCTTTGTGGGTCCAGCACGATATGGTGCGAACAACTGCAAGTGGTCGTGCTTGTGGGGTTCTTGGTGCGGCCAAAGCTGCCTGAATTGTGTTGGGGAGGCGACCGCACAGTCACAGCAATGTGCAGGGCCAGGGGTGACTGTTCCAACGGCAAGTGCTTGCAGGTGAGTAACAAGTTCAAATAGCCGCAATGCAATTTGCAGGATCTGCTTCTAAGCAGTTGCACCAATAGCAAGCTTTTGTGGCTGGCAAAGCTCATGCCATTTCGGACATATGAGAGTAAACCTCTATGTCAACATGTACAGGCCGACAGGCAATTACTTAAGCACAGTTCGAGCGCATTGCAGCCAAAATAGCAATTGGACAATAGGTCTGTTCTTGCCAGTCTTGCCAAGAGCTAATTGAGTTGAAAGAAAATTGGCGCTGTCGAGCTTTGGCATGGCATGTATTTTTATGTATTTTTTTGGATTTGCCAGACTGCCTCGCATGCCTCATGCTCAACAGCTTAGCAGAAAAGGGTCCCTTTTAGAAAGCAGACACGCTTCATTCATCATGCTGGGTGGTGCATCCATGACTCGCATGTTGCTTTTGACCACCCTGTTCCCTTGCCTTGCGGCTGACTCTCTCCGTGGTTTGGGAAGTGCCCCAAATGGCAATGTGACAAGCATGCAGAAGCAATTGGTTGCGGCCAGTAGTACTGCAGGTGCGTGCACTGCTGCAGACCAAGCCAAGATGACGCAGCTTGGAAGTGGAAATGCAGATGGCACCTTTCCCAAAACCCTTTCCGACTGTGGCAAGCGAAACTACAACATTTTCTCAGGCTTCAACGCTCGCAAATTTGTAGAATGTGTTCAGGAAAACACTGGCCTAACCTGGGACTGTGGGACTTGCTTTGTGGGTCCAGCACGATATGGTGCGAACAACTGCAAGTGGTCATGCTTGTGGGGTTCTTGGTGCGGCCAAAGCTGCCTGAATTGTGTTGGGGAGGCGACCGCACAGTCACAGCAATGTGCAGGGCCAGGGGTGACTGTTCCAACGGCAAGTGCTTGCAGGTGAGCAACAAATTCAAATAGCCGCAATGCAATTTGCAGGATCTGCTTCTAAGCAGTTGCACCAATAGCAAGCTTTTGTGGCTGGCAAAGCTCATGCCATTTCGGGCATATGAGAGTAAACCTCTATGTCAACATGTACAGGCCGACAGGCAATTACTGAAGGATGGCCAGAGCACGCGGCGGACAAAATGGTAGCGGCTAGCCAAGTATTATGATTCAGAGAGATTGATGTCACCTGGGTTGCTTCAGTGTAATGAAACACTGAAATTGAACTGCTTTTCTGAGAGAGATACATCATGCTGGAGCGATTTTCTATGTGCAATAAAATCATGACGAAGATACCTTTTTTGCATTTTGGAAACACTCTTGTCATTCATCCACATTATATCCTACATCCGGATCTGGGATGTTCTTTTGCAGAGATCGTGGGACTCTTTCCGCTGTCAGTTCGCACCTTTTCCAGGTATTGGCCAGTGCTTCTTTGGTGGCACCTATGCGGCCTTCTTTGCCGCAGCGGAAGCTTTCAAGACCTCCGGTGGGGATCAAGTGCAGTGGCCTCGGGATTTTACGACTTGGGCTGGTTGACCATGGTTGACCATGGTTGACCTAACTCATGTTTTGTGTCACCTAATTACAAGCTTTGGCCCATTGGCCTGGTCCAACGTTTGACCTATTCATTTGTTTGATATATTTGATCTACATAATTCTCTCCTTTTGGACTCTCATGTCTAAGGCTAGTGAGCCTGCAGGATCTCCAGGAAAGTCTGGAAAGCTCAACTTTGCTCAGAGAATTGTGAGCCACATCGACGCTTCCAGCTCCGCAATGCTTGACAGGACGATGCTATTGCCGTCCTCGAAGCAAACTCGGAGCAAGAGAAGGCTTGAAGATGCTGCACGTCGGGGGTTGAAGCGCATCAAAATCATCAAAATGAAATGATTCAAATGATTCAAATGATTTAATGATTTGATTATTGATGATTTTGTGTTAAAGTTGTGTTGAACTGTTGGAATCTTGTTGAAATGGCACGGCCCAGGAGTTGGGCCACAGCACAGCGGGCGACAAAGTGAAGATTGTGCTCCGCACCGTACTCTCCCAAAGTGCACGTTCCACGTTTCAGCATTCTTCATTTCTTCCAAGATTGACAGTTGTTAATAGTTGGGAATTGGGAACTTACTTCACAACTTGCATCTTGTTGCGTCTTTTTGCAAAAATCACGTGATTTTTGATTTCTACTCCTGTTTTCACATTCACATCACAGACTTTCAGGTAGACCCAGAGCGCATCTCTGTCGCTGTCAGATGTATTTGGGCAGGTTGCATGGCGCCAGCGGCATGTTTGTCTTGCAATCAAGACTGCAGTCCACAGTGCCAATTGGAGACCTCAAGTTGGAGATTGACAGGGAATCGTCATGACACTCAAGTACAAGTTTGCAAGGACATGCCTGGCCGCTTGTGATTCGTTTGTGTGGGTGCTGAAGCAGTTGAGAGTTCGTCCGGAGTCAGACTCAAAACAGGACAGTTGCCTTTGCGCATTCCATTGGCAGCATTCTCAGCAATCTGTGAGCTATCGAACATATCGAATCCATTCGAATCCTAGTGAACCGAGATTTTGTTCAGACCAGTGTGGCTGTTGGATGCTGGGCCGAGGAGACAACTTGCGGCCTATTGCAGCCAAGGTCTTGGCGCCACGACCTCGGATGTGACAATCTTCGCAGACCTTTACGGCATGACGAGTTTTACCTTGTCCGACACTACATAAAATATTCATTGGATTTCATTGGCCATTTGAGGCACTGCGCATTTTGAGTCAGAAAGTGACATGCTGCAACTTTGAAAGGCGCACCAGTGCATACAGAGTGCCCTCACAGGCCAAGTGCTTTGGCAGTGACTCCTCCAGAGAGCTGAACTCAGATACGGCCTGAGGCTGGAGTCCTGCAGCTCTTCTTGGAATGTCTTGGATATGGATCTCATGGATCTCGTAACCGTCACAACCGGTCTCATATGGTCTACCGGAGTCTTGGCGCCCACCAAGGTACAGACAATGGATTGAGCCTGCAATAAATCTCAGCTGCAAGGTGGGCTCCCTGGGCTCCATGTTCAGAACCGTTCAGAACTGTTCAGATGCGGAGGTTGTGGCAACTGCCCTAGCATGGAGATTGCAGCAGGTGCCTCTTGCTGCTCCCATCTTGTGACTGCTGAGGGAGGGGAAGTTTTTGGAACCAGAGTAGGATCAGAGGACTTTGACAGACTGCAACACTATGTTTCTGAATTGACGTGCTCTCACTCTGCAGACGATCTCCTCCGTCCAAAGCGGCATTGCAGGAGGAATGATAGCTAGCAGGACTGCCGTAAAATTGCAACGGATTCGGGATAGATATGAGCTTTTAATAGCTTTTATCAGATTGCCACAGACCTCAGATTGATTCCGCTACTTCACTTCGCACGTGCGACCTGAAAATGATTGGCTAACACAGGAGTGCCTGTGCATATCTTCTGTCCTGGACCTAGTTTCTCAATCTGAAGTTCAAGAGATGATCAACGTGAGAAAAACGAGAGGCAGAACATGTGGAAACAAAGATACTGTATATAGTCCAAACACTTCCGTCGAAAAAACTAGGACTTGTTGAATGCAAAGCTATGACACCAATCAACTGGCAGCATCAGAAACTTAGACCAGTAGCTCTTCATTGATTCCAATCAGGCCAATCCTGAAGAGAAGAAATTTGCTGCTAGACTTTGCAGAGGACCTGCGATGCCTGGCTCTTCCATGCATTTGCACTTCTTTTTGGCTGGGATGAATTTTGCTGAACATTTTCAGGATTCCATGCTTGATGATCTTCTTGGTTGGGGTCGGTTTCCGAGTGTCTTCAAATGGTCAAGTTTGAGCCCACCCAGAAAGCTTCGTTGATCAAAATGAATTTCAAAAGAAGCACTTGAATGCTATTGATGTAAGGCCTGGCAGCAACCGGCATTTACTTCCAGGTTTTCTGCGGGGTCTCGCTGGCGCATTTTCAATCTTTCTACACTTGGCTACACCAGTACTTGTTTGATAGAGAATGATAGAGAGTAGTACCGGTGCAAACAAACCTGTTTGATTCAACGTAACATAACGTAACGACGTTTGATTCTTTTGCAATGTTTGTTGATGTTCGAGACAGGGAACTCCTCCTTTGGTCTTGCTTCCTGTGACGTTGCCAATGGAAATCGCTGAGTCCGAGCACCAACTCTTGGGATCATTGGGATCCATATTGCAACGATGGCCGCAAGGTGAAACGAGGCATCGAAAACTCACTTTCAAACCTGCTAAACAGTTCTTAAACAGTTCTTAAACTGCTAAATATTTCAAGGAAATGAAAGGCACAAGGCATGCAACATTTATAGGACATGGAAAGTGCCAGGAAACATCTAATTTTGAAATGTCGAACTTCCTTCAGAGTACTGAGGTCTTGGTTGAAGTGGTCTGTGACCTGGTTGGGAAGTGAACAGATCTGATTTCAATCCTGTACATAATGCTTGTCAACTTGTAGCTTGGTTCTCCAACCCAAAGAGGTTGAAGTGAACTCGTCTTCCGCTACAGTGTCCCATAGCGGAGTATTGCTTCCTTCACAAGTTGAATTTCTGCGCTGGCTTTGCTGATTGTTCACTTCATGCCTTTTTGATTCTTATGCCTCGTGGGCTGCCTTTCTGGTTGACAGTTTGCAGGCAAAGTACTTTGCGAAAAGGTATGGCAAGGAGAGCAAGGACAGCTTCTGTCAACCAGTGATATTGATTGCCCCACTTCTGGAAGAATCTTGTATTGTCAGGCGGAGCAGGAAAAATCTGAGATAAGGCCTGCAACATGGCATTGGGGATCTGATTCAGCTGACTTGAAGTGTCTCAAGAGGTGAAGCTCCAAATTGCCACTGCCAGGTCTGTGAAAACTGAGGAATTTGGAGAGCCTGAAGAGGCTGAGTTGGATGAAGAGGAGCGGGGTGAGTGAATTGTGGAGCCGTGTCGGATTAGTAAATTTCATGTAAGATCTGTAAATGGATGTCAAGGTGTTTCATGGTGTTTCCGACATGGGGAAGAGGCCGATGCAATGGTGAGGACCCAGACCTCGGAGCGATGGCAGATGCGGTAAGTGAACCTGTTGTACAGCTGCAACAGAATGAGCCTGTCGATTCTGTCGATGAACTGCTACCGTCCAACTCTCGCTTGGACTCCCCTCAGGACAGGAGAATGCACATGCTGACTGTGCACTGACCAGGTTGTCTCTCTGAGTCTATCCACTGCTTTCATATTGGGCTTGTGCTGTTTGGTGGAAAGAGTAACTGAGTATTTGCTGCATTGTAGGATGCGTGCATGTTAGGGGCTGAACAAAAGCCTCAAGCCAGGCTCTCATTGATATTCATAGCTTTGGCGATTCTTGTGTTAAGCATCCAGTTTTTGTATCATGAGACATGCTGCTTGGCCACATAGTCCACAAGGCCAGAAAAACTGGTGCCAAAGCTGCTGCCAAAGTTGTAGCCGCCACACCTTCAAAAGCTACGCTTCCTGGGCACGTTCCAGAACTGAAGGCATTTGATATGGCAAGTTTGGTATTTTCAGTTCTTGGAAGCTTTGAGCAGTTGACACCGCTTGACTTCTATGTTCCACCAGGCGCAAGAACCTGCACCTGATAGTGTCAACGACTCTTGTTTGCATTGACTTATGCTTCGAGTCCTTGAATAGAATCCTGGATGCTAGGCAGCCGAATCTATTGTTTGGATTTCTGGAAATCTGAGGCCGCCAAGAGCTTGAGAGGCTCGAGAAGGACTACCAAGCCTCCGGATTGGATGCCAACGTTGAGGCCAGAGCCAAGAAAGCTGCACAAACACGAGGGAAATTGCGACGAAAGGAAGTTTGCCTTGAACTCTGGGAGGCCGAGGTCTTTGCAATAGCTGCACTGAAGCGGTGTGTTAGCCTGACAAACAGGCTTTTGTTGTCTTTTGTTGACGAAGAACCAATGTCATCAAAAAGCCGCTGACCGCTGCAAGATCATGAAATCTAGCCGTAAAACACAACACCATACAGACAAATCTGTCTATCCAAGAAGTACAGGTACAGAGGAAAGCTTCGCTTGTTTGGATTCCTCCAGTGGTAGAATATGGGTCGAGCAGGATGGCTTTCAGAGTATTTGCGGTGCCAACATATTTGGTCTTGGTTCCAGCGAGGTTCGAGCAGGAACTGGGTTCTAGCGGGAACGAATCTTGTACTCCCTGCTTCTGAAGCCATTGCCAGACTCAAACTGCAGAAACTGGCTGAACGCAGACCACAATAACAGAAGCGATGGCCATGGTGACCGCACTACCGTCCTCACCACCCTCACCGTCCCGTTTTGTACGAGTCTCAAAGTCTCAAAGAGTCTCAAAGATCCTCACTGAGCATGTCGGCCACACAGGTAGTTCATGGTGCGAATCTGGTGAGTCTTGGTGTGAATGCATGGCTACGCCTCTGTGAGGTTGTCGGAGTTAAAGCTTGGCCCAGGTGCTTTCAGCCGCAGACATGAAGCACTGCAACAAACATGTTGAGACCGTTCTCCAACTTGGTTCCCCACTTGTCTTATTTGTGGCTCTCATCCCCACTGCAGCCGACAGGATTCATAACCGACCTCTTTGTCTCCGTCCAGTCTGCAGATTTAGGGTGGCCAGTTGGATTGAAGAGGCCCAGAAGTTGCAAACCTGAGCTGAAAGAGATCAGATTCGAATTTGTGGACTGGGCCCAATTGTGTTGCCATCGTGGAACCACTAGTGAAACCACTTTACAACATTTTACAAACATATTTTAACGGGGTTCCATGTGTAGAAAGAGCAGGACACGATGACATATTTTGTCTGGGTTTCAAAGTGGTAGTAAATGCTATCTTGTGTTCAAATTCAAAGACTTGATGCCAATTGTGCCCCTTCCAGGTGCAAGAGGGATGTCAGCAGGTAAGCTCCAGTTTGGATGGCCTTCCAACCTTTATGCGCACACTGCGACGTTCTCCTGCAGCAAGGCTTTGGAAGTTTGGAATTCTTGCGACCAGAAGACGGTCAAATACGGTCAATGTGAGCAAAGGATAGCAAAGTCATTTCCAAGTCATTTCCAAGTCATTTCCAAGTCATTTCCAAGTCATTCAAAGCCTATTTGTGTCTTTGATAAATGCATCAACTGCGTGAAGGCAGTTCCTCTCAGCGGTCATCATAGCTGCATTTTTGGCCTGGAGCTGGGCACCTGTTGGCTCCTTGTTGTACTTGGCCATGAAGCCCGAGGAGCAAAACGAACAATACGAGCAATAGACTTCAATAAACTATAAACATCATGTGTAAACACCATGTGTAAACGCCTCCATGCAACGCATCAGTGGAGTTTTCGAGATGTCAATGTGAAGCGTCGTTTGAAGTGGCCATGCTTGGTAGATTTGTTGTTATTCCACTGATTCCACAAGAGGACTGGTGGCAAGGCGCTGAACTGAGTGCTGCGAGCTTTCAACACCTGGAAAAGTTGCAGAGTCTTAGCTTTGACAGGTTTGACCGCAAGTGACCACAGGAACAATCAAATCTCTATATTATATATTATATAAATTCATCTCAAGCGGCAATCGAGGAGGTTCCTCCTCTTTCTTCAAGAAATCCTTGGAAGAGCCAAGATCAACATGAGGATGGACCACAGGGGCATCAACAAGCATGAGAAGAAAAAGAATGACTGGGAAGATTTGAAGAATTGAACATATAAAAGCTGTTGCCACTGCCATGACAGCTACAGTGACATCCTCCATCGAATCTTCGTTATGATCCTTGTCGTTTCGAGTCTGTCTCCCGGTCAAACTTGTCGCTTGTCACTGAGCTTCTATGGTATTGGTGCCAACCGAGGGGTGAAATGGGCGGAAGCCAAACAGCGCGCTGTGGCATGCACTTACGTGGAAGAAGACTGAAGAAGCTTGTGTGTATTGCAAGTTTCAAGAGGTCAAATTTCCAAAGCATGGGATAGAGTCGGATAGAGCAAATCAAATCAGCCGATTGGAAAGAGTTACTGAAATGGCAAGAAAGGTATGTGCTATCCTTTTTTCTGGGCAAGCTTCCATGGCCGGGTCCTTCGATTTCAGAGATCCAAGCGCTGGCGCCAGCGCTATTTGGAAACGTGGCTTGCCAGAGTCCTCACGTGCATTAACTATGCATTACTGAGATCATTACTGTAGGCTCATCTGTTTTGCCAATGATTTCCACGGTCTCCAGGTTTTTGCAGGCTCTATGTTCGCAGCGCTTTTTGATACTGCGGCAGCAATCCCATTCTTTTACACCGGGAGAATTTTGCCACAAAGCTGCACTTGCAATTTGTGCTTGAAGTTTCATGACACTGGTCTGCATCTGGACCTCTTTGACTCTTGACTATGGGACCGCGTGAAGGCTTGCAAAGTTTACGTCCTTAAAAACATGCTTTTTGATGCAACCGGCGGACGCTGATGAGATTTCGAAATGACTGACGGCGATACCAATTCTCCACTTGTTGATTGAGGTGTGATGATTTTAGACGTCGTCACTTTGCGAAAAAAAGAATCTTCAGCAGTCTCTTGGACTCATACTCTAGACAAAACAATGATTAGAGTGGAAGTAGTTTTGCCCCCATTGGCAGAAGCTAGAGAAGCCGTTCGAGCTGGTTCATTTCTCAGGCTGTGTGATTAGTTGCATGGATGCATATGAATGCGACAGTTTGCCAATCCTTAAAAAAAGGCATTTCAGCTTGCTTATGGAATAGCAGCAAGGGCCGGCCCTTCAACAATTTCGAAGCTGCATTTGCAGGGGTAACCCGAATCATGCTGTAGTTTCCATTGACGGGACACAGTGCCGAGGACAAACTCTTGGCTCTCAAGACGAGAGCCCTTGGGCCTTCATCTATGCTGCTACTTGCCTTGTGTGTCATATTCTTTCAAAATCTACCGAATACTGAGATCATTTGACACCCATCTTGTGTCTAGAAGAAGATCCACTCACGAATCCGCTGCGGGGACAAAGATGCCACTAATCCACCTGGGAGCAAAAATGGTTTTCGCAGCTTTGGCTAAGGCACAACGACTTGCAGAGGAGGACCTGTCTGGATGCAAATGTCAACTTTACAGAGACCGAAATCGACAAACCGATTTTTGGATATTTTTGGTTGTTTGCCAATTGCCAAAATTCGGCCTTCTTTTGCAAGAGATCTGCACATGGCACTCTTGTTTTCGAGGAAGGCTTGCGTTTGGCTCTGCTCCTTCGTCTTCTTTCAGTTGGCTGGGTGGATGCTTTACTTTGCCTAGCAACTGAGATGTTTTAGCCAGCAGCAAGAGACATGTGTGGCAAATTGTTGCGATATATTGAGATGTAAGTCAGCATCATCATGCTTTGTAGCGGCTTTGAGACAATTCTGCAGTGTCGTTCTTGTGGCAACATACTTCGGTGACAAAGGGTGACAAAGACCTGAGGCAATGGGTTCCCTGGGCATGAGCCCACAGCAATTCGCTCTGGGCCCAGACCTTAGCAGCATGGCCATATCAGGCCAGGCCCTGGGAGGAAAGTGAGATGATGCGAGATGTTCCGAGGTCATTTGATTGCATCCTGGCGATCGTCAATAGAATATGTGCCACACCTAAACCTAATGCCGCTACTGTGAGAGAAAAACCACAATTCAGTATGTACTTGTTCTTCAAATCGATCACTGACAAATTAAATGGTCCTTTTGCCATCTTTTGTCTACTTTCCTGGTGACTCAGCAAGGCATGTTTGGGCGCAACGCTCGCAGATCACGGTGGTGCGCAGGCTACCCGGCAGAAGTCAGGCAGGCGTAACATGTGAAAGTCCTATTAGACTCGGTTGGGAGAAGAACAGATGCTGAATAGATCAGTATTGTGACTAGTGATATTATTCTGACATCTGTTGTGACCATATGATGACCACAGCTCTGTTGTCTTCTGAATTATGTTTTAAGGCGGAGTTGCTTATTCTCCTGCAACTGCTTCTGGCCATTGCTTCTGAACCTCGGCAGAAACCAAACCCCCATCGAACCCTGATGAGGCTTTGGTAGATCCATTTTTTTGACACATTGTAAAACACCTGCATTGTGCATTCCTATGCTTTTTCGTCCTGTGCATCTTGAAGCTTAGGGCGCAGTGGTGACTGCGTGTGCAGCAAAAATCAGTGATCAGTGGCAAGCTTAACACTTGAACGAAATCATGCCCTCAAATATCATCTTACACTATCGAGTCCCAGTGCAGATGCAGCAAATCTTTCACTTTCTTTAGCCTCTGTATATCATGCAGTCCCACAGCAGCTGGCTGAGGCTGTTGAACCGCGCAGCTGCTAGATATGCATCTTCCTGGCCATCAGTAGAAGCAGTGGAAGTAGAGAGATCCCTACCCCAGGTCATTTCAGCGAAGCCTTTGAACCATTCAGTCATTGATATCGATTCATGATGCCTTCAGAGAGTAGTGCACTGCCTGGTTGTTTGGTCTTTCTTCGCAGGTCGCACTGGAAGCCCTTGAAGAACCACCTCGTGATCCATGTTTGATCCGGGGCTACGAAGTACCCTTCCCCTTGGCGTCGCTACTTGATAGCACTTAGGACAGGATCCTGCTGGATCCTGCAGCAGTTGAACCACAAGACTTTTCCCAAGAGGCCTTGCAGCCGTTGCAGCCCTTGCTGAGGTTGGATGACCTGCAAAGCCCAAGGCTAGGCAGACCGCTGAGCACAGCTGAGCTGGAATTCTATGACTTTCTATGTCAGAGCTTTTGGATTCTCTTCGAAACACTGGACATGATTGGACCAGGCTTCGAGCATCCTGCCATTGGCAGGTACCCATGTCCGCATCATCCTGTGCTGATGATGTACTCTCCCAGCGGGGTGTTTTCTTCATATCCAGTTGACAGAGAGGTCTGTCACTTACTGCAGAGTGATTGTTCCAGTGTGGAAAACCCCAATTGTGCTCTGCAGCCATGATAAATAAACGCATCTGCATAGGTGATACAGCATGGAGATGGACTGCGCTTTGCAGATGGTTCAGAGGAAAGACCTGCACATGACCCTTGGTGAGCAGTGCTTGCGGGAAGGAAGATGTTCATCAATCCTCACAGACAGATGGCTCAGATATGCTCAGATGATTCAGATGGCAAATTGTGGTGGTGAGAGATTGAGATTGATCTGCTGAGGTACATCGCATGGAAACGTTCCAGGATGCCGTGGCACACATGAAAGAAGAGCATCCCTGTGATATCCAGCTCCTTTGGCTGGAAAGGTTCGAAAATCTTTATGCCCTGAGCAACCAAAGCGTTGGATCGTGTTGGATCGCGTTGGCACATGCACTGCAGAGAGCTTAGGTTCAGTCTTGGTCAAGCGCCCACCAAGTACTTTCGACAAGGCTTTCCAGAAATCCAGCGCGGGGAGTCCAAGTAAATCCGTGAACGAAACCAACGAAACTACCTCAGCTGAAGATTTGAAACGGAGCGGCAGCTTGAGCACTGGATGAACCAACACTTCAAGCCTTGCCATTTCCAGTCAGCACCTTTACGGCGTGCTAAGGCAACGACATGCTGCAAAAGATTGGATTGAAGCCCACAGACTTTAGCGATTTTTCCACATACTGCTCAGAACCGTGGCACTAAAAAAATCTGACTTTGTCAAGGTGAGTGCAGACGTGAACAATCCACTTGAATGCCGAGTGTTCAATCTATTTAACATATTTCAACATGAGAATCAGGACAGACATTTGCTTACCAACTTCCACTTCGATCAACATCCTGGCTGTCTTCAAATGTGCTCGGGCCGAAAACAGGCTCCTTGGCTGAGCAACCCACATGTCTGTGAACTAGTGTGGAGACTATCGTTCTTGAGAGCTTTCACTTTTTCAACTGGTGTTTCGGCCTGGTCAATCACAAGACTCTCCTTCAGGTCTTGCTGGTACATCCGCGATTCTCAAACTACATGAGATCCTTTGTGGAAGAGAGGCGTAAACGGCGTAAACGAAAAGTTGCGAAAACTTTAGCGAAAAGTTGCGAAGACGACTTGTGTGGGATCCCATGGGATCCCATGGGATCCCTCTTGTTTATTTCTTGTTTCCCTATTGGACTCCAGGAGATCCTGGATCACGAGCGAGATCCAGGCACTGGAAGATTTCCACCCAAGGGTCACAGATATTCTCAGAGTGTTTCATTGATTTATGCAATTTATGCACATAGTTTCTACATACAAAGTCAGACTGGACACTTCAGATATCTATTTCTTTGACTTGCCGTTTTTGTAGGCTGTGACGGTTCCTCATTGGAACATCATACTTAATCCTGGAGATTGCCTCTTGGCAGTGTGGATGAACCAGCCAAACAAAACCTTCCCTTTTCCCTGAGGAGTTTGCTCTTGGTTGGCCCTGCGGGGAAGTCTTGCTCTCACTGTACTTTCCCTGAGGTTTATTTATTCCTGCTGGCTTTTGGCATCAAGTGAAGTCTCTTGATTCGCCAACTTTGGGAACAGTCTTGCGCTACAAATGACCTTGGCAAAAAAACAAATCTGCAGTCTGACAGATGCAAACAATTTTTCTTGAGGATGTCATATAGGGAGCCTCCGACATCTCATCCGTTCCACCGCAGCCCAAAGTTTCAGCTTTCAGCACTAGCTTCCAATTGCAAAGCAAGCGCTACAACACCAGTGTGAACTGCACCATGATTGCACCATGACTGCACCATGACTGCACACGACCCCAACGTTAGTATCGTAGACAGCCTCTTGGTCAAAACTTTTCGCCAGTTCATTACACCTTTTTGCCACACCCAAAGGCACCCATGTTTCGATGGCTTGGCATTGAAAAGTGTGCCGACCTGAGCTGGTGCAGAGCTCCGTGTGGTTCGCGCATCAGACGGGCGGAACCTTGTTGCTCTGGCGACTGCTGCTTGACGTGGGTAGGTCTTTCCAGGCCCGGGTCTGCAAAACTTCACGAAATTTCACGAACACAATTTCAGACATTCAGAAAATCAAGACTAATCAAGTAGACCTCACATGAGTACCATCTTTCACGTGCCATGTCCCACACAATGCAGAAGCGAGGGCCATAGCTTTACGGTTTTGGAGAACCACACCCATTGAGGCTTTCGGATGAAAGACCATGAAACTAGGCTTTGCGGCTTTGACTCACACCTCGGTTTTGTGGCATGAAACCCCTCCTTGCGGGGCGACAAAGCCACATTGGATCACATTCGTATGATTTTGACAAGTGGTGAAGTGAGGTCTTGGTTGTATCTTGATGTGCTGATTACGCTTTACAGTTAGAGTATTTGGAAAAGCGGTAGTTGATGGGATATGATAGGTTCTTATAGTTGCTGTGAAACTGTTGCTGAAGTAGCAGGTAGTCACAGTTACTGTCAGCGCGCATTGGGGCCGTTTGTTTCAGCGGAGACTGAAACACCCTGAAGGTTGATAGACAAGAAGAAGCGGACCGCTGCAGCTATACATGTTGCGCGGGAAAAGTGTGTTCGGCTTCATCGCGAGGCGGCATCGTTGAATGATCATTCGGCACCACAAGAACACTTACGAGCAGCGGCTAGACATTTAGCTGCAGTGGAGAAATGGCTTATTCCCCCAAAGCCAGGAGCCAGCACCTCAACATTTTTCAAAAGTCTGGATCCAGAAGAGCTACTGGCTGAGTTGGGCCTTTCACACCTCGCTGAAGGCGAAGATCTTGAAGATTTCTTGGAGTATTTTGCAGCATCCATTGGGGTTGGGGAGCTTTTGGTAATAGCAATTCCTTGCCTGATGCAGTCCAAGACCTTCCGTCATCCAGGAACCTTTTACATCACATCAGACCGACTCTGTTTTCGATCGTCGGTCTTGGGAATGGAAGCACGGCTTTCGATCGCCTGGTCACAGCTTGAATGGGCTAGGCTGATCAAATCCGAGAGCTCCCTGCACCCTGTGCGCCTTTGTCTCAAGCAACCGATCGACATAGATGCAGTGAAAGTGGACTCCTTTGATTTGATGATTTTTGATGTGGGGATCTTAGCCCAACTACACGCATGCGTTTCCTACTTCAACGGAACCGGGCTATTTGATATGGTGCCAGAGTCTAAGATCGAACCCGTCGAATACCCAGCTTCCCCGGGAATCGGTGAGGCTCTGGAGTCTGGACCACGAGCACGGATGAGTGCCATGACGCCTGAAGAGATGATCGCAGACTTGGAAGAGCTAAGTCTGGTTTGGGAGCTTCAGCGTCGTACCACAATTTGGCACAGTGACTGGAGAGCCCCTTTCCTGCCTCATGACTACCAAAAGGCCATCAAATGGATGGCTGTGGAGGATCATTATGTTCCACATCCATTTATTCCTGAAGACATTGATGTAGATGAGGCGGCTGAGAGTGAAGAACCACCCATTCGAGAGGTTAAATTTTTGGGACGACGTCGAACATGTCAGTGGCATGTTGTCGTGGATGAATCTTCTGATGCAGATGGGTGGCAGTATGCAGTTGATTTTTACCTCGAACCGCAAAAGTGGAGTTCTGAAGTCCGCGGCTTCTCACACGTTCGCCGCCGAAGGTGGCAGCCCACCTTTTTGCCTGACGTCAGTACTGATGAAACTCCTCCCACCAGGATGAGCCGTCGTCTCAATTCTACCCTCATGGCCGAAAAAGGTGTGTCGCCTCCACAGGTGGTCCTGGAAGCAGACTTGGGTGTTGTGTCATTAGAATTGATAAAGAATGATTTGGAGATGGAAGACTGGATGGGGGCTGGTCACTTGATGGCAATGCAATTCAAAGATCTGCGCGCTTACAACATTGAGCTTGGCCCCTGGCTTCTTGGCAGCGATGCCGGACAAGGCTCCAAAGTGCAGGGCAAGTTACGATCCATGGAGATGAGAGTTCCAGTTCCTCCAGCACCTATGTGCCCCAAGGAGTCTCGAGTTACCTGTACCTGGCATGTGGTCACTGACGAATCGCGGGTCTTGCTGGAGAGTGTTTTGATGTCACTGGATGTACCTTATGGAACTTGTTTCAATGTGATTAAATGCGATACCTTCAGAGTGGATGCAAACACTGGCCACACGCTGTTCGAGCGGAGGCTATCACTGGAATGGGTGAAGAGCTGTTGGGTTAAGGCACTTGTGGAAGCAAATGTTCCCAAAGAAATCAAGCTGGATGGATTGAAATTCGTGGAAGTAGTGAAAGACTGGGCTCAGTCTCACGCTGTGGACAACTCTGTAAAGAGTGCTGCAACAGCTGCAACGCGACGCTCCAATGACTCCGTGAAGAGTTCACCTCAAGTTCGTTCCAACGATAACTCTACGAGAAGTTCACGGAGATAAGGAAAATAATTCGTTGAGATTGATTGAGACTTCCTGAAATAGAACAGCCTAAAAGCGAGTTGTAAGAGTGGAGGAGGGAACCTGTTCTCAGTTGCTGGTTTAACAATATTGCAACAGGTGCTTTTCTGATACAGAGATACGATACAGTAGGCCTTTCATTGGCAACCACTGCTGCCATCACCATATTTCAGTAACACACCGGATGTTCTTTGGAGTCTAGGATGCTGCTCCAATTTTAGCTTTACTAAAAATCTGACAGATCTTGAGCTCTTGAACTGACTTGTTTGATGACCTTTGAGGATGTGCGCTGATTATTGCAGGCATTGCAGGCTCAAAGATGGGAACCATTTTTGGACAAGCCATACAACCCCTCAACAGCCACAAGCTATCAAGTGCCAAATTCCAACATTGCACCACTGCGCAAATATTGACTTTAGCTTGTGCCAGCCATTGCTCCAGACCGGAGGCAGGGAAGAATTGTATTGGGCACAACCTTTAGATGGAAGTTCATATTGCAACATGGAAGGATGATACATTGAACCAAAATGAATGAAATGGACTAAACAAGTGGAAGAACTGTCAAGGGCAGTTTTTTTTCTTGCTCAGGACAGACCTCATGGCACCTGGACGGAGCCCAGAGTCAGGTGCGATTTCAACAGTTTGAGGTGTTTGCTGATTGCAACAGTTTGCGGCTGTTGCTGATGCTTCTGCATCAGCAAACTGTATCCATCGGCTTATTGATTTGGCCAACGCTTTCATGCTGCTCTGCTCTCCGGCTCCATTCTCCTCTGTATGGCTTTGTGAGGGTAGATGCAGAAAAGATGGAGAAATGCATCAACCAAATTGGTCACAGGTTCAAGCTGCAGCAGATCTGGATCCGAAGAGGACACAGCCCAAGATCGGAAGTGATCGGGAGACTTGTTCACACTCGAAATTGTTTGAGAGTGGTAGTAAACCGCCTGGATTTCATATAGAATTCCATGGCAGAGATCTTCCGGTGTTATTGTGTTGCAGGATGTCGGATGTTGTAGGTAAATTTCTTGTGCTTGAAGGATCAGCCCCTTGTCACGGTTGTTCGTGCAGAGCTCGTTCGCGGACATCGGCCAGTGGTGGTTTCCGAGGCAAGCAATTCAGCCTCAAGACTGCTTGTGTAACAGTGTAACAATGCGTACCATACTGGATGTCCTTGGCAGGTGCCAGTGTACATTGGGCTCAAAGATCAAGATGGAAGGCAGTTCGAAGACAAAGGAAACTGCCGCTGACCTAGACAACAGAGTCAGATGGTCAGAGAGTGCGACAGATATGACAGACATGCTTGCCAAGGTCCAAATGTCAAGTACCGATGGCTACGGGGACCAGTGGTAAAGACACTTCCTCAGTTCTTGAAGAACATATTGTGTCGTGCTGTTGCCACCAAGAGTAATTTTGTGGCGCAGGAATTGCAGTTTGCCTGAAAAGATCTGGATGTAAAGCCTTGTCAGATGAAGGCCTTGCTACTATCACCCGCACAAGATGTCCCAGATCAAAGATGTGGTTGTACACTCAGCCTCCGCACAAGTGTAGTTCCATTATTTTCCCCCTGACCATCCCGGGTTTCCTCAAAATAATCAAGGCATGGACCCACACGTAGGAGTTGCTAAGAGCAATGCGCGAATCCTTGCAATGTAGTCTTCAAATTTGGAGAGGGTCGCAGCTGCGGCACTTACAAGTCAGTCATATTTGGTCATTTCACTGCAGGGGCGGACTCACTTGTGCTTTTGCTCGAAGGACCTTCTGTTTAAAACATACGGCTTTGCAGCCTCACATTCCAGTCTGCTCATGTCAGGAACGAGTCACTTTTGACAGTCCTGCTTTACCCTGCTTGACCAGGAATGCTTTCTGAAAGGTTACCACGAAATCCCGAAGAACTTGTACAAAGCTTAGTGGATTTAGTGGGCAAGCAGCAGGATGGTCGGTGTTAGTCATGTCTTTCTTCGCTACACCAAGGTGGGCAACCAAGGATGATGTGGAAAAGCAGGACAGACCAGTCTTGACAGTTCTTGGGCTCATATATTTATGGATCACACATTACTTGCGCGTGTGTTGCTGTGGACAAATCTATAGTGACGGACATACACTTAGAAGACTTAGAATGTATTTTGGAAATAACATCCTGATTTTTTTAAATGCTTTTTGGACGTTCTAAGTGATGAATCGTCTACGTTCTAAGCAGTTACACTTAGAACGTCCAAATATCAAGATTCATCACTTAGAACGTACCGGGGAATTTACAGTAACACTTAGAACGTGTCTAGGTCAATGATGATAGTGGAAAGGCTTGTGAAATTTTGCCTACGTTCTAAGTGTTGGTTTTACGTTCTAAGTGATGAAATTTTGCCTACGTTCGAAGTGTTGATTTCGTGCCACGTTCTAAGTGCAAAAATAAAGTTTTGGAACAAAGATTACGTTCTAAGTGATTGTCCGTCACTATAATGGGAGCAAAAATCTTTTCCCCAACAGCGTAAGCTAATGGGGTCTTCAGCCCAGAATAGCTCCGGTGTGCACTGGTGCAGGCGCCGGGTCAGGTTCAACGGAGAAGGTTCCGGAGAAGAAGGTTCCGGGAGGCTTTGATGCAGAGCCAGGTCAGGTTCAACAAGGCTCCAGAGAAGGTTCCGGAGAAGGTCGGGGAGGCTTTGGTGCAGAGCCAGGTCAGGTTCAACAGGGTTCCGGAAAAGGTTCCGGAGAAGGTTCCGGGAGGCTTTGGTGCAGAGCCAGGTCAGGTTCAACAGGGTTCCGAAGAACGTTCCGGAGAAGGTTCCGGAGAAGGTTCCGGGAGGCTTTGGTGCAGAGCCAGGTCAGGTTCAACAAGGCTCCGGAGAAGGTTCCGGAGAAGGTCGGGGAGGCTTTGGTGCAGAGCCAGGTCAGGTTCAACAGGGTTCCGGAAAAGGTTCCGGAGAAGGTTCCGGGAGGCTTTGGTGCAGAGCCAGGTCAGGTTCAACAGGGTTCCGAAGAACGTTCCGGAGAAGGTTCCGGAGAAGGTTCCGGGAGGCTTTGGTGCAGAGCCAGGTCAGGTTCAACAAGGCTCCGGAGAAGGTTCCGGAGAAGGTCGGGGAGGCTTTGGTGCAGAGCCAGGTCAGGTTCAACAGGGTTCCGGAAAAGGTTCCGGAGAAGGTTCCGGGAGGCTTTGGTGCAGAGCCAGGTCAGGTTCAACAGGGTTCCGGAGATCGTTCCGGAGAAGGTTCCGGAGAAGGTTCCGGGAGGCTTTGGTGCAGAGCCAGGTCAGGTTCAACAGGGTTCCGGAAAAGGTTCCGCAGAAGTTTCCAGGAAGCCTTGGTGCAAAGTCAAGTCAGGTTCAACGGGTTCCGGAGAAGGTTGCAGAGAAGGTCCCAGAGAATTTTTTGGGAATCTTTGGTGCAGGGCCAGGTCAGGCTCAACAGGTTCCACAGGGTTTCCAGCGCTTGGCTTCGCAGCACGCTTCAGAAAGATCTGTAAAAATGAAACGTTGTGGCTGTAGGGGATACCACCGAAGCTTATTCCATTTGTATTGCTGGGTGGTTGATGCAACGCCAGGAATTGATTGCAGAGTGGACCGAAGTGGCTACAGCCTTTGCGATGATGAGACTTTAGACATGGTGAACTGAGCTCATGAAAGATAGAACCGATAAGCCATAGCTGCTTCCAGGCCAACACGCGATCCTATTGCCCGAGCAAGGAGGATGTTCGACCAAGAACCGGCTTCACAAATTTTAACTACAGTAGATATGTGGACAGAGTTGACTGACACTGACTGACGTTCTTGTTTCGCTTGGATGAACTCTAGCAACACTGGCAACGAGTGTACCTTCAAGCCAAGTCCTGTGGGTTGGCAGGACATAGATCGCCCCCTTCGCCTTGAGATCACACCCTTGGTAAAGGTCAAACTTGCATTATTTCAAGACTTTGATGCGCTGACATCTAGTTTCAGAGGTTTGTCGTTGCATTGCTGGGCCTTCAAGATTTCCTTCTTTCCTTTCAAAATTTCAGTTTCTAAGTCAAGTTGGAAGGGGCAATCTGAAAATCGGGTGTGTCAGGAACAGGAGAGAAATGAGTTGGAGCAGGAAGGTTGGCATGGTGCAATCGTAATGCTTCTCTCGGAAAATCACTCGGCTGATCAATCGGCATTTCTTGATTTGTGCGTGTCTCCTTCTGCTTCAATTCTCCTTTTCTTTCTCCTTTTCCTTCTCTTATCTACTCACTCCAACTTCTATTCAAACTTCTTTCAAAATCAAATCGGCCGTTCTTATTCTTGTTCTCAAAATTGCTTTCGCTTACACTTCTCGATTTGTCACTTCTCGATTTGTGCAGCTCAGTGCAAAGCAAATGACATGGGAATGCAAAATGCACAGCAAAATGCACTGCGCCCTTTTTTCACGAGTCTTGAGCCACAATTCGTGGCATGGTTGAAGTCATGACCAAACGTCAAGCTTTGAAGACTCTGCGGTTGAATCTGTCATCAAACGTCAAGCTTTGCAGAAACTGGCAAGAGGCAAAACACTTCTCCTCAAAAGCTGTGAGCTTCGGGAACTGATTTTGATTGATCAAAGCTTTGCCAGGACATTCAGTTTCTGCCGGGATTCTTCAAGCTTACATCGTTGCAACACTTTGGTCAAAGCATCTGAAGGGATGTCTGTGCCAGGAATGTGCTGAATGGCAAATCCTTCAGCATGGGCCTGGTCCCGGATGTAAGCACACCTCATGCCAAAGTGGCGTGTGCGAGTGGGCACCGTAGTGTTGGATCCCTTGACCAAATTGGCTACACAAGCAGCGTTGTCACTGCCGAGGAAAGTTTGTATTGGCTTGCCGAGAACCTTTTGCAGAAGGACCTTCACTGGAACACCAACCTGACAAGCAGAAGCTCCAGCATCGACTTCAGCTTCAAAGGCGCTCCAAGCAGTGAGAGCCTGTCTTTGAGATTTCCAAGACAGAATGTGGTCACCCCACTTGATTACCACTCCAGTGCGGCTACGGCTGGCTCCTGGGGCCAGGCTAGCATCTCCAAATAGCCACAGGGAATCATCAAAGCAAGACTCCGGGAAGCAAGGCGCAAAGAAGACACCATGGTTTCGAGTGCTGCTCAAATAGCGCCAATGCCTTGACATAACTTCAGTGCAACTCCGGGATGGATAGCTGACAAGCAGGCCACAGAGCCGACCGTGGCGGCGATGTCTGGGCGACTGCGCAAGGCAAGCCATTGCAAACACCCAACTTCACTCTGGGCTTTTCGCAAAACCTCAGTGTACTGCTGATCGCGGGTCATTGGCTCCAACGTTCCTTCTGGAACAGCAGGCAGTGAGGGACTGCCTTTCATGTGAAGCCAGCCTCGCTTGTTCAATTCTTGGATCAGCCAAGACGTTTGATGTAAAAGTACACCATTGTCGGGACACCTGCGGATCTTGACTCCCAAAAAGTTCAGCTCTTGCTGGACAGGGACGCTCTCGTCACCAACTGGGACGACTGATTCGCTACCAAGCGCGTGGCTGGCCAAGAAACCTTGACACTTCAAATCCCACAATGTTTTCAACTCAGCTCCTAAGGATACCAGTACTTCACGAGGTCCAACCAGCAAGCCATCATCCACATACATCATGAAAAGCCCAACACATTCTCCATCTGCCTGCAGAAGCCATGCGCCAGACTCTAGAGGCTGCATTACAACACTGCCAATGGAAGTGTTGACAACACGGTGGTCCAACATTCGATTTCTTTCTTCTTCCCATAATTTCGGCGCTTTTCGCAAACCATAGATTGCACGCAAAGCAAGCCACAGCACATGTGGGGCTATAAGGCCCATGCGGACCAGTGATGGAGGGGGCCGAATCAAAACTTTGTCATCACCGAGCTCAGCATTCAGGAAGGCGCAAGCAATATCCAACACCAGTGCAACCCATTCTGGGTGCCTCACCAACATGGAGATCAGGAGGCGCACAATTTCCTGTGATGGGTTTGCAGAAGAGTTCTCAAGCATATGAGGCTGTGTATCTGCTTGGTAATTTCCACAAGCCACCAACCTCACCTTGGCCTTCCATGAGCTGTGAGCTACTGCAGAAGCGATTGATGCCGAAGCTTCACTTGGAGCAGGGTCCATCATTGGCTTCCGGGTAAGCACCAACTTGCTTGGAACAGGAATTGGCAGTTCTGACGTGGACGTCAAGCCAAAGAAGTCCTTTGCTTCTTCACGTGTGACTTCGCGAAGAACTTGTTTTTCCATCATGTTGTCCAGCTCTGCCTGAAGTCCATTGATCCACTTGGCTCTCTCCTCCTCAGAAGTGTCATCGCTCCACAAAACTGATTGGGGAACTGCTTCAGCTGAGGTGACAATATCTCGGCTTTGTGCCTCTGTCTGATTCATATCTTCTTCCAAATCAAAGGAGAGAACATGGTAACGGATCCTCTCATCTTGGTTGGACATGTGACTTGAACTGTCGTTGGCCTTGACAGCCTTGCAGGCGAACTTTGGCTCGCCATGGTCTAAAGACAGGAGGTAGCCATGACCAAATTTGCAGAAATCAGTCCAGGATGGCTCAGTGTTGCCCATCTGTTTCTTGACCAGTTCAAGAACGTCCCCAGCGCTAAGGTCTGGACCAGCTGTTCTTTCTTCAAAAGTCAGCTGTGGCTGCCCATCTGCTGGTTCATCCCAGCAGAGCTCTCCTGTGTTTGACACCCACGCCCTTTGGTCATCCTTGCTTTCAAGCCGCCATGTTTTTGCAGCAGTAGGCGCAACCAAGGGCATGCGGGTCTTGACAATCTGACCACGTTCGCCTGACGGGCGCTTCATCAGGACAAGGGCGCCATTGGGGATAGTTTCATCTTCGCAAAGGAAAACTGCTTCGTCCAATCTGCTGGTGAAATTGTCAGCAGCTACTTTCCTCACCAAAACTTTCTGGCCCACTTTGGGCAGAGCAGCTGGAATGGGCAATCCGAGGGCTCGCTGTCGAGCTATGAACACTCCATGTCTTGCAGCAAAAGGCCAAAAAACCAAAGGCAAACTTCCATGCAACAGACAGCGTGTGGCGTCATCTTTGACTTTCTGCACCATCCGTTCTGCAACGCCATTTGCTTCAGGCGAGTGCGATGCAGTGGTCGTCTTCCAGAGACCTAATGCATGAATCTGTTCTACCATTCTGTTGGCAGTGAACTCTCCCCCGCAATCTGAGAATGTACTCGGAAGTACACTGCTATGCCTCCAGTCATGGATGATATTTGAGCCATGATGGAAAGCAATGCTTGGAGTACAGTGGCAGACTCCTTGTTCGGCAAAGTTCGAAGAAAGGGTAGCACGGTGCCATTGGAAAGCCTCAGGGCTGTGACAAGCATGTAACGGTGACCATCCACACTGACAGGGTGTGGACCTGACAAGTCCATTGACAGCACTCCGTTAGAAATGCTTTCGGCTGCCAGTCTGCGGTGGGGTCTTCTGTACCCTTTTGACTTCAGACAAGTTTCACACTGCTTGTCGTACAGCCCTTGCTCACAACGAGCCCTGAGCTGCTTCAAGGCTTCTTGTTCTGGTGTTGGAACATCATCGGGCAACGTCCCATCTTCCAGATCTGTCCCGTCATCCAAGTCAATGGCAGCAGGTGAAACTGCAGCCTTGCAGGTACTGCACTGACTGGAAGACGCACCCTCTTCTTGGATGCCTGTTTCGGGGACAGGGAAGCCAAGTGCAAGCAACTTCTTTCCAAAGGCATGCATCTCTTCCAAGTCAGATCTCTCTTTGGAAGAAATGGAAAAACCATCTGAGCTGCACACCGCAGGTCCCCGACCGGGAGAAGCAGTAGGACTAGGAGCCCTCTGCTCTGACGTAGAGGAGCTCGGCAAAGGACCTGGGTGCTCAGCGTGTGGCTCATGCAGATTAGCTGCTTGGCATGAAGTAGGCTTCCCTTTCCAAAGCTTAGCCAGCCTCCTCCTTAAGGGCTGGAAATCTGTCCAGCTGAGGTAAGGCAAACGGTTCTTGACCAAAACATCGACTTCGCGGATCTGTCCGTTCTCTTGGGGGACTTGCAGGACTGGGCTTCCACTTTTGCCATCCCAACAAAACTTGCAATGAAGGCCCACTGTGAGCCGCTCTAGAGGCACAATCCATTCTGCACATGTTTGTCCAGAAGCTGGTAAGACCAGCTCACCTTCCCTGGTTCTGTGAGCCGATACCGCTTGGCCATTTGCAAGTGCGACCTGTGTGCTGGACATGTTCTTCATCTGTCTTTGGAGCTCAGGGCGATATGGTCTGATCACTTCATTTGCGCCAGAGTCAATGGGGACCAGCGGCTTCTCCTCATCAGAAACCTTGCACGCTGAACTCTGAGTGGTCGCTGCCATCACCAAGGACCGAACCGAAGAAGCACGAGATTGGCTATCTCCAGCGTTCTCGGCTGCAGCGGCCTTTGGATTGGACTCAGCAGCCTGCTTTGGCTTGGTCTCGCTGCTCCTTTTGGGAAAAGCCTTTGGGGCCAACTTTGGCTTTGGGGCTGCTTTTGGTGTCACATGGGGGTACTTGCATGCATCCCCGTGCCTGCAGCTGCCAAGCGCATAGAGTCTGCAAGGAGACAAATGAGAGAATGCACACTGGTCGCCCTTCTTGCAGTTTCCACGTGCAAAAAGCTGACAGAAACTGGGTGCTGCTGGCTTTGCTGCAGCTTTGGCCTCTGCTCGGAACACTGTTTCCAAGGTTCCTTGCCTGTTGAACTTTGTACGCTCATCTGCCTGGAGGATTCGAACTTCTTCTTCTACTTGTGCCAACATACTCTGAACTGCCGCATCTTGCGGCCTGCGGATCTCTGGTGCCATGCGGAGAGCCTGCAACTTGAATCTCAAAACCTCAGACTTTCTTTCAAGCTTCTGGAGAATGCCATCCATGGCTGACAACTTCTCATGCGGTGAAAGGGGCGGCAAGCCAAGAGTGGAAAGGCGCGACACCGCCAGTTGCCACCGCCGCAACACTTTGAAGGCCTCATCAAAGGTCTGGGAAGTGGGCGGCGAACGAACCCACTGCTGCAAAGACTTCACTTCCTCCTTGCCACCAGGGTTCAACACTTCCAACAAAGAGACTAGCAGCTTCTGGCTGGTCACCTTGGCCCGGGTTGAGTATTCAAAAACGGGACGTTTCACTTCTTCTGGCAATGTCCTCATCAGGACAATGCAAAACCGGCTCTCAAAGTCAGAGGAGAGATGCCCAGTGCATGTGGATGCAGACCACATGCCTTCATCCAGGTACTCATACGTTGAAAGCTTTCCCATCTGCCTTTGCTCATATACATTTTCTGCCTGCTGAAATTTCTCTTGCAAGAAAAGAGCCCACCTCTGACCAACTGCATGTGCAATTGCCAGAAATTCAGCTTTCCACACGCTAAGTTGGAGTGCTCTTTCCCAGGATTCCCCAGGAGCAATCTCAAGCTTGGGCACGTCTTTCAGCAGTTTCCACACGCCATCCCTTTTGTAGTCTACGCCATCGTCGACAGTTTGTTGGATCAAGGGCGCTGAAGACCGCGCAGGCTCTGCCTGCTTGCGCTGCTGAGACGTGGCCAAGCCAGGCGGCTTAAAGCCAGCAGGATCTTCACACTCCCACCATGCTTTGTCATCATCGTCATCATTTTGCCACTGTTCATCTTTTGAAGGTGTCAAAAGAAAGTGCTCTGGCTGAGCAGGTTTTGTAGTAGGCGACAAGTAGCTTGTTTCCACTTGCCCCTGCTGAGAGTTTGCAGTCTGCATAATGCGATGATCCAGGTAGTTCATTCTGGCCATCGCTGCTTGGTGCCGGTCTTCCAGCGTGCTGAAACGCAATTCAGCATGTTCATTGGCGCTCCGCGCGCTGACTGCCATGTCTTTCATGGCTGTTCTGTGTTCATCCAGGGAGGCCTGCATCGCTGTCATTGCTTGCTGCATTGATGCCATAGCCGTTCCCATCCTGTCCAGAGTATGCTCCAAGCTCTTTTGACGGTCTTCTTGTGACTTGAAGTATACCTGAAGTCTTTCAGCTAGTGCTTGTTCTCTTTGGATGCCTTCTGTGAGCTGCTGCTCCAACATCTGTGCTTGTGGCCACACTTTGTACAGCACCAGCAAGAATCTCAGTTCGACCTTTGACTTGGGAAGCTATCTCGCGGATAGCCGCTGACATCTCTACCCCTTCGTCCACCATCATTGGTTCAGAGGCTGCATTCGCAAGGTGTGCTAGCTGCTGTAGCAACTCAGGAGCCACTGTAACTTCTGACATCTCCACCCTTCGCAAGTGCATTGGAAAAGGTGGGACTGGAGGTAAGCCGGAAGTGGTAGAGCCAGTGTTTGGGCTCATGACCTGAAAATCGGGTGTGTCAGGAACAGGAGAGAAATGAGTTGGAGCAGGAAGGTTGGCATGGTGCAATCGTAATGCTTCTCTCGGAAAATCACTCGGCTGATCAATCGGCATTTCTTGATTTGTGCGTGTCTCCTTCTGCTTCAATTCTCCTTTTCTTTCTCCTTTTCCTTCTCTTATCTACTCACTCCAACTTCTATTCAAACTTCTTTCAAAATCAAATCGGCCGTTCTTATTCTTGTTCTCAAAATTGCTTTCGCTTACACTTCTCGATTTGTCACTTCTCGATTTGTGCAGCTCAGTGCAAAGCAAATGACATGGGAATGCAAAATGCACAGCAAAATGCACTGCGCCCTTTTTTCACGAGTCTTGAGCCACAATTCGTGGCATGGTTGAAGTCATGACCAAACGTCAAGCTTTGAAGACTCTGCGGTTGAATCTGTCATCAAACGTCAAGCTTTGCAGAAACTGGCAAGAGGCAAAACACAATCAAGGCTCCGGATGTTTTTTTGACACAATTCCATTTAGCTCGTGGGCGTGTTCTACAAACATTTTGTCTTGTAGGGCATAGGGAATCTTGCTGCTACCCTTTCGGGATTGTGAAACTTATTGTTTGCTCTGCCAAGTGTCTAACCGCTGTTTGTAGCGTCTAACAGCTGTTTGTAGCTTTGGCGCGTTAGCACAAGAGCTGCAAGGTGGTGACTGCGCCTAATCGTTGCTTTTACATGTTTTCCTTTTTTTGTGCAATTGTGGTTTCTTAAGGCGCAAGATGCGTGATCTCTGCCAGGGCGGTTCAAAGTCCAGCAAAGGTGGCATGACCATTACCACCGGGACAGTCATCCCGACACCGCAAGAGGCAAACTCATCGGTCATTAGTAGCGGTTGGGATTGAGCAGTTAGTGGCAAGTTCATGCGTTTGCAAAGTTGACAACCAAGAATTTGTTTTAGCTTTATTTATATATGAAATATGTTGGCATATTTTCGCACATGTTTCTATTATTTACCTAGATGAGCGACTTCCGTGGCCCCTTTATGCTTCATTTCATGCCAAGAGCGGCACTGCAAGGCACGCTGCCGTCGGACACTGATGAACAAGAATGCGGCGACCTACGATGGTACATCATTGTTGAATGGCGTCCACGTCTCAGGAATTTGGATGAAATTTACTTGATATCATTTATATTTATTTCCTATATTTATGGGTACACTTGGTGGGCGATTTGGAGTATTTTCTGACTTTCTATCCTTCGCTCAGGCCGAATGGCTTACCAAGCAGTTCAAAGTGATGAACTGGAATGCCATTCCCTTAAGAATCTTTGAGGATTTCAAGCACTACAAGTGGTCATTGCTGAGATTTTCTTGTCGGTGTCAGAGGTGCATTGCACTCAGGTTCTGGCGGACCTCTACGCAAATGAATCAGCAAGAGCCACAATTGTCATTGCTGGCTTTCAAACTCCCTTTTTTGCAATGCCATGCTTGAAGATGCATTTTCTTTGGAGGTGTATCCTTACTGTGAAAAGTGGGCTCTCAATTGGACATGGAGGAAACATTTGATCATGAAGGACAGTTCAGCTTTGCAAGTTGTCCCGGTTCTCAGCTGGTCATTCACAATCTGCGATGGTCGGGTTGGGTTGCAGGAGCTGAAGTCAATGGCTGTTGATATCATCACCCTTCAAGAGGCGCAGGGCTGGGGAAGCCGCCGAGCTTGCAGATGTCACGGCTTCACAGCACTAAAGTGCAATCGCAGCCAGTCCGAAGGTTCAGAAAGATGCATTCGACGAATGGTTCAGGCCAAGAAATCTGACTTGGCGGCGGAAGATCAGGAACTTTCTAAAAACTGATTTCGTGTGTGTTTCTGAACATTTCTGAGCACAATTTTTGCTCATGTAGTGCAGGCCCCAGCTGCATGAGGCAGGCTATGAAGGTGTCTTTCAGCAGAAGAAGCGGGACCGCAGAGCGAAGAGCTTCTCTTTGCGGGCTTTGACAAATTTTGACAAACGTGCCGGACATTTTGAATCACTTTGGCAGATTTAAGCCTTGCGCAGATTGCGCAGGATCCAATCTTCCACCGTGGTAAGTACACAGCAGAAGGCTCCTTGTATTTGCTTTCAGCTGACATAAGCCCTGGGAAGAACTTCTCTTAGCAACAGTGACAAAAGCCTGAAGCGCAGTGAACTCTGTTAGACTAAGTGTTAGACCTTGTGGTGGTCTAAGGCTGTGCTACTTTCTACAAGACTACCCGATTCCGTCGCGTTGAGAAGCAGGTGCTGCCACCCTTTCACAGCCGAAGCGGTCTTGAAGGAGTTGCATTTGTAGCTTCAGTCGCTTCAGTTTCAGTCCTGGTTACTTTATGTTACTTTGGTGCAGGTGATCGACTACGACAAAGAGACTTCTACCGAGATTCGAGGTGCCGGCTTGGAGTTCGAGAACGATCGATGTCAGCTTCTAAGGCCCAGTGGGTCCAGGCTGTCGACTCTCAAACTACACAGCTGGTCCGTGCGGGTCAATTGGTCAATCACTGAGGTCTTCAGCGGCTGTCCAAAGGACGGGACTGATTAAATGCTTCGCAGAATGCTTTGTTGATGCCAAAGAGAACGATATACTAAAACATACTAAAACACTTATACTGGAGGCATGAATGGACTGTAGACATGATACGTGTGATGTACAGTCATTTTGTATCTTCTGTGACACTTGTGCTCCATATATCCACCCTCCAAGACATACACAATTGCTCCGTTCCTCAGGCAACATTGCTCTTGTTGTCGTCTTGGAAGACTTGCAAATCAAGGCTTCTCCAAATAGTGGTCAGGCAAGGACTGAGGACCTGAGCACCTGAGGATGAAAGTTCATGAAAGTTCTGGTGTTTTTAGAACTTCGCTGTAGCAGTGGGGATTCCAGCAGGCTGGCGAAAACGGCGGTCACTGCCTGGTCGTGGTGCCGCCCACAGATGACACTGGAGGAGTTTCCAGCAGACCCACATGCCAAAACAAAGTTGTTTCAGATGTTTCAGTCAAAATCACCAAGAATTACCAAGGTCAATACCCACATTCTTTGCGACCCAAGCTCTTCTGATGTGAAGCTGTGGCAGGCTTTGCATCAAACCCCGAAACTCGAGTGGTACTGGGTGTGGGTTGCTGTCGTACTCAGACCAATTTGACCTTGGTAGCCACGGGCTGGCCTTTCTGGAGAACCCCCTGATCCTATCTTGAGGAGAAGTGAAAGCGGCAGGTAGACATATTATATATAATATAATATATATATATAAATCATATTAACATATTTCCTGGAGTTCTGCAGTGTTTGAGTTTCAGCGCGCTCGACTGCCAGTCCTACTTGCTGGTGAATTCCCTTCGGAAGATGAACTGGCATACATTGCCCTGCTGGCATCATTTTGCTGACTTGAAGGGAGATGGGACGGACGATATGGGACAGCAAAAAGACAAATGACCATATCGGTGCAAAATGCACCCGCGAAAAGTTCTAAAAAACTATGAACAGGTAACAGATATAACAAGGCTTGAAAAGAAATTGAATATGTATATAATATAATTATATAATATATGATATAATATATTATATTGTGAGATAATCTATATTATAAAATAATATATATATATATTAATTATATTATAATATAATAACATATAATATATAATATAAATGTATATAATATATTTGAGTACGAATGGAATCCGTCTCTGAGTGCGGCTGGCCGCTAGCTGCAGCGCCTCGGTCAGGCCACTTCTGCTTGCTGGCGACTTTAACTCTACTCCTGACTCAGCTGTCAGACACCTATAGGATCATAGTAGGTACATAGTGATCATAGTGAACCTGGGAGTGAGACAGCAGAGACCGTGTCACGCATGGTTTTCCCCCAACCAAAAAAAGCACATGGTCAAGGTTTATGACTTTCTGAAGAACGCATACGTCCCAGATGGTCACGAGGCATTGTCCGATTTCTCGACAGCTTTCGAAGTCGCTGAAGTAGGGACCAATGAGCGGCAAATGGGGGACCAATGAGGGACCTGTTTGCAGGATCTTCGCCACGATCCATCAGGACTGCTGAGCAGGCAGGAATGGCACGCACATGGAAGGGCATTCCAAGCACCGTCTTGTGGCATTTTGCGCTGATTGTATGCCTTCTTTTGAGGTTTAGGCTCCAGATGCGGCATGATCTTGCTTTGACCACGGCATACGCAAAGTGCACTGGCAGGGACCCTCGGATTGACCCTCAGATTCAAGCAATCTCCCGATTTCCAATGCCCAGGAGCGGAGGCGAAATTTACCAATTACACGGAGGACTTGTGGCTGGTGTCACAGGTGTCACAGGTGTCACAGGTGTCACAGGTGTCAGTTGGGGTTCTTCTTTTCTTGGTGGACTTCAGCGGCAAGCGAGAGTGACCCAGGACTTCAAGGGCACGCTGGACTACATTTGGTTTTCACCAGAGGCTGCTTACAGATCAGTTACTGTGAAAGTCCGTTAACGATGCTGATCGGTTCTTGGTTTTATTTCATTGGCGAGGCACTGCATGTGGTGGCAGTTACGCAAGTGGATGAAGAGGGCGAATTGAAGAAGGACAGAACCCACGGAATTTGATCATGTCTGGGAACCGCCCTAAAAAAACAGTTTCTGCAGAGAGACTACAGGAGCATGCCCTGCCTTCCAGCAATCGCCCCTCTGATCATGTCTTGGACTTAGGAACCTCACATATTCAGGGAAGAGGCACTTGCGACTAAAGACTCATATGACATGTCTTATTGAGTACTCATGTCATGGCTGAGGTGTCACTTGTGGCTACATTTGTCTTCAAGGAAGAGGACGAGCAAAAGGCTCAAGTGCGAATCTCAATTTCTCTTGCCCTTCTCAATGTCTTCAAGCAACAAATGGATTACAAAACTGTACAAAACCAATCTCTCTATCGCTGCAGGCTCGACACGCCTTGAGTGCCCACCAGTGCTCCCTCGTCTTCGTATGTGACTCTGGTGCAGTGTCAAGTTGATTCTGATGCAGGTACCATCACATGACTGGTTTTACTGCTCAAGGAGGATACTTTCACAATGCTGCTTCCATATGTGTCCCAAGCCGTTCACAGATGCTAACTGCATTGTTATCAGGATGGGCCTTGGAATGATGTGATTCAATAAGTGAGAGGGGAAGGGAGAGACAGAGACTGGGAGATGAGAGAGAGAGAGAGTGAACACATGTTTCTCGGGATGTTTTTGATCCCTTTTGTCTTCCTGATTCTTCCTGATTCTTCCTGGTTCCAGGAGGTTGGGGATACGAGTCCTAGCTCCACAGCCAGAATCGATGAAGTCCCAAACTCGAGCTGTGGATGCACCCAACACATCTAGATGACATCAGATGACAAGGAAAAGGTAGGAGTACACACTCGAGCGGTTGAACTTCTGGAATATATCGATGGTGTTTGGAGGGTGGCTCGCAAGACAGACAAAATTGTTACTGTATCAATTTGAATAGCAAAGAAAGCCATCCACCACCGAAGTAATATTTCAAGAACTCGTTTGTCTCGACTTTGGCTTGCCTTTTTGAAAGCTCTGGATTTATTCAGGTGCAAACTAGTGGCTAATGAAAGTTCAGTGCCCTTGAGGCACGGAGTCAGAACGCTATTATCTCCCATGTTGTTTGAGGGTCTTGCTTTCTTTCCTTGCTTTAATGGTCTCACCACCTTCTTTTTCAACCAAGAGTTCTGCTCAACCACACAGTTCTATTGGGAAGCATCACTGCGGTGTACTGTAGTTGTAGGGTGCAAGGTGTTGGTGGAGGATCCTGCAAGCAAGGACATTTGCTGCGCATGGCATAGCCATCTCGATGACAGGACTGGCCCGCTGCATCTGACCCACTGATGATTGTTTTGGATGCCGGACTGCCCCGGTGATACGAATCGGGAGGCAGAACTGGACAGTCCTGCCACCAGACTGGGTGGAAGGCTTGATGAAGCACCAGAAAGATATTATGGATGATCATATGAGCAGCCCCAGTGGCAGGGCCTCTAAAAACCTGGATGTCTGACGAATCTGTTAGCATCTCTGTTCCCAGTAGCTAGGACAGTAGCTAGGAACTTATTCTTTGGTGAGCAATATGCTCATAGCTCCAGTAGTTTGTTCTCCGGTGGCTGGTCATTTGAAATATGGTGGAGTTGATGCCACGTGGTTCTCCTGACACCCTCGGCAAGCCGAAGGCTTTATTCACTGCATCTCCGTTTCAACCTTTGCAAGCAGTGAGAATTTTAACATGTTTGGATTTGTTTGGCTCAATTCGGAGACAGACTTTGGTACCATAGCGGGCAAGCCTATCCTGCCCACGTCTGGAAACCATGGGCGTTCCTTGGCCTTGGCACGGCATGATGACTTGTGACGACTTGTGACGACTTGTGAGGACCTGCAACGACGTCTTGTGTGCCTGAGATATCCTGACTGTTTCACGAGGCTTGCCAGGGAGTGGCAGCTGCTGAAGGAGACGACGAAGGAGCGAAAGCAGACAGCAGACAGAAGACATCAGAAGACAGAAGACATCAAGAAGACATCAGAAGACTTAAATTTGTTTCTTTTGTTTCTTTTGTTTGGATCGTCCCGAATCGCCTCTTTTGCCAGTCGTCATGGGCAGAGTGGAAAGCGATTCTTGGTAGCATTTTTGGTTCCTAGGTCCGCAGGAGTTTGCAGATTATGCAGTGTGAATTTGTCGAAGCGCTCCAAAATCACTGGCTGTACAGGAAGGGGAACCTGAGGGGGACTTTCCAACGAATGCAGCTCGGATGCATTCGTTTGGAAACATAAGGAAACATGATCTTCTGCACATCCTGCTTCTGCCTTCTTGTTCTCCACTTGCCTCCCACTTGGCTTCCACTTTTGACTCATAACACATGTGAAAGTCAGATCTGTCTGATGTGGCGTCAAATCTTGATCTATCCACTTGAAGATTGTATGCTACAGTAGAGTTGTCATGAAAAACAAACCGTTTGGGGCCCAAAGCAGGGAGCTGCGGCTCTGAGCAATGCAGAGATTGGCATGAACCTCTGCGGTCTCTCCCTTTCAGGTTCCCCTTTGTAAATTTGCTTGTGGAAAGCTGCTTGGTTGCATTTAGATTTAGTCTGCATTTGAACTGTCTTGCAATCGTGGAACTGCTATGATGGAACTGAGGGCTGTCCAGCCAGGGAAAACCAAGCGTGGGAACAATTTCGACACATGTTGCAGGCCACCGGAAGGATTCATTGAGATGTTTAGACGGTTCTAGAATGTGCCAGATACTTTTAGAGCATCTGTCTCGAAATTGGCTGCGCCAGTCAAGGTTCTCAGGAAACAAGACACTAGACTTTCTAGGTCCAACACCCATTTGCAACTTTTTGCAAGGTCAAGGCCAAGGATCATTCCTTTCCTCCAGAACAACCGGTGGAATCTCTATTGACTCTATCTCCTTTAGCGATTTATCTTCAACTTTCGTTGCGTTTGCGTCATCTGTGCAGGACGTGTGCGGTAAACAAGGCCAGGACCCATATAGCAGGATGACGACAAAACATAAACCATCATAAAACTGATTCTGCGTGTTCTTGTTCGACCTGAAACCAGGGCAGGGGCATCCACGACCCAACTTGTGGCGGTGCTGCACCCCCTCCTACCAACTCTCGCAAGGCCATGAGTTGGAAAATGGCAGTGCAACGGCAGATTTGAGTCGAAGAATGGTACTTCATCCACTTCCTTGCGGCTTTGAGTTTTTTCGAGTTCCTTTGAGTTCCTTTGAGTTCCTGAGGCTTGCAAAGTAGGGTCCAAGTGCAGGGACCGCAGCAAAGCACACTTGGAGGCACCACAAACCGACGGTGCTGTTGCTGATTTGGACCTCGGTAGACATCGATTCGTTCCCGAATGGCCGGAGGAACTATCCCACCCTTTGGATGAGGACTATCCGTTCTGCCTGGGCTGACATTCTATGCAATGGCATGAATGGCATCCAATTGACATCCTTTGTCATCCTTTGTTTGAAACTCCCTGCTGCAGCATTCGGCTTTACACTCAGTGCACAGAGACATGAATGCAGCACACTATTTTTGATCGTTACGGGAATTTGAAGTGGAGGAACAGGTAAGTTCCTGGTAATTTTTTGTGAATTCCTGGTCTAGTTATACTAGGTATAATCATTGCCACCGTTGACACCCCTCTCCTTGGACTCTACCTTTGGTCAGTTGGTCATTTGTTCTTTCGATGACCCAGCTCGGCAGCCTTTGATTGCCATGGGCAAAAAGAAACCTGCTGCCAAACGACAGGCCGTCAAAAGCGAAAAGCCTGTCGATGGGACACCCAAGCTCGAAGCGCTTCTCAAAGATGGGCAGTTGACCGCGCCCTTCAAACAATGCTTGGTGGAAATTTTCTCCCGCTTTGATGTCGACAAAGACAAGCTCTTGTCAGAGGAAGAGCTGAAAGCTTTCAGCCGTGCAGCAAATAAGGATGGACATGAATTTACTGCTCAAGAATTGTCTGAGATGAAGTCTATGTTTGAATGGCTTGATGGACCCAATGGACCCAAGAGTTCAGGCCTGTCACTTCGAGGCTTTGTGCAAATGTACACACAGCAAACGATGGTTTCAGAACTGGAATCCTGGTCGGACTTGAGTAAGCTCGGATACGATGCTTTCCTGAAGCGGAGAGAGGAAGGAAGTGATAGCGTTGATGACTCCATAAGACCGGAAGAAGTCTCCGCGATTTTAGAGGAGTTTTCCAAGTCCTCTGATGAGTTTGTTTCATTCCCGACATCGCCAGCTGCGATATGTCGAGTCATTTGCCAAACAGCAAGTTCTTTGGGCTTTGAATGTCGCATTTTACAGCAAAATGGATCAGAAAGACTTTCTGTTTTCAAGATGGCCAAGATGCCTGAGGCTTCGTCTCCTACTTCTCCTCAGGCAGGTGCCAGTCACGTCTCGAGCCCAACATCCGAACCTGAGAAATCTGGTGGTGTACCTGTTTTTTCTGCGCTGGAACTTGACAGCAAAAGCTGCAGACTCTTACAAAATGAGTTTGGAGACGAGATTCCCAGTGGTTGGACCATCTACGCCCATCATATGACCATTTGCTTGGGCAGTCTCACCGAGGCGCGGTCGAATGGGAATTCTGTATCAGACGATTTGCAGTCGTCCATTCGCAAGCTGAAAGCCAAAGATCTGGGAACACTGAAAGTAGTCTCGATTGGCAAAGGCAGAGGTGTTATGGCACTCGGAGTCATAGGTTGCCCATCCGTGAATCAGGTTCCACATATCACTTTGGCATGTGGGAATGGCCACAAGCCTGTGGAAAGCAACGGTATCGACAAGTGGGAACAACTTCCCGAGTTTCATACTCTGACAGGTTTGGTCAGAGAATTTGAACAAAGAGATGTCAGTGCAGGTCTGACTGCGAATACCAAACAAGTGCATGAGGACTTGGTGGCTCGACTGAAACATTTGGAAGCTGAAGTACTTGCTGCTCGAGCTGTCCATTTCTTGAAGCTTCAAGACTCAGATGAGCAAACCCTCAGAGGTGCAATAAAAGAACGAGAGCAGGAACTCTTCAATCTGAAATCTGATGCGGATGACGGTTGGGAAGTGGCCCAACCCAAGATTATAAAAGCAAAGGCACCGAAGGGAAAAGAGGCTTATGCGGGAACTTGCCACCACTTGAGACCCTTTCTAAGCCGCAATAAGAACTACTCGTATCGAGCCTTTTGATAGGTATCAGCAGGCACTTTTCATACTTTCAGCATCTTCCAGCATGCTGACGGAGTGGGATTTCACCCTGCTCCTGGCAAGGACTATGCGATTGCTTGCTCAATGACCAAGGACTCCTTTTTTCCTCGGCCCTCAGTTCCGCCAGATCTTTGTTCCATTCTTTGTTCCCTTTCTATCCCTTTCTGCTTCGTCAGAAGTCAGCCTATCAGCAGGACGTGGAAGCTGAACCGTTGACTTTGAGAGTGGTCTTCGTCAGGTTCTGATGGATTGACGGCATGACGCACCGGTGTTGCTGCAAGTCTTCAAATGATGGGAGACTTTCTGCAATGCATTCACGAATGGCTCAGGATTGGAGCGATGCCGACGGGTCTGGGAAGCTGTCGAGAAAGGAGCTGGAAGCCTCTTTGGAGATGATCAAAAGGCGCTTGTTGTCATGATGCAAAGTTGCAGAAAGTCATGATAGTGTCATGACAATGTGATGAAGAAGTGATGAATGGGCGAACAAATGGACACGATCAAGTCCTGCAAGCGCAAGTGACTTGCAGGGCTTGTGGAGATTCCCTTGGCGCGATCACTGATGAGGCGGGGACTATTTTTTACTCAGAGGTAGTCTAGGCATGTTGACAGTGTTGACACCTATCCGTCCGGGATCCGTCCGGGTTTGAGGTTGTTATGTTTCATTCAGTCTACAGTCTACTTGAAGACCTCTCTCTTTCAGCCAACTGGTGTTGACATGCAACCAGCTAATTTTCCTTTAATGTTTTTCGATTTCTGTGTCCCAGTCGTTGATGTGTATGACGAATGGCATCAAGTTGAATTCCAAGTATTCGATACATGACATTGAATTAAAAGACCTTCGTCCACCATTGTGCTCTATGCACTCTTGATGATTAATTACAAGTGAAACGAGTCGCCAATTGCCAGCTGGCATTTGCTAGCCTAGCATTTGCACTGCAAAGGCTTGGCTACACCTTGACGAGGTAAGGACGGCATTCTTCACATTGTTGTTGCGGAAGCCATCTCAGCTCAGCGATCTGTTTCTGCCTCCAGACTACGACATCCCTTCGCACAGTGCGATCAGATTTATACTGCGAGTTGAGCGTCCAATAGAACCGCAGTCTTTGTAGCCAAAGACTTTGCGGGCACTATTTACAACAACAAACACCAGCGTATAGATGTGTATAGTGCGTATATGATTTGCATGTGAGATTAGAGCATATTACATTATATACTTGTGTGAAACGGACAGCTGTGTTGACCAAAGCAACCCCATTCATGAGTGCAGAGCCATTCACCTTTATTTACTTCTCAGCCTTTTTAGGCACAGATGGTAGGCCAGGTGAGCCTCGCGGTCCCCGCAAAATCGCTGCGTGCATCTTCAGCTGCCATTGAGACTTGTTCTCAGTGGCAGCGGAGCCATGAGCTCGGATCCAGGGGTGACCACCTCTTTCCAGGGCAGAGAGCCCAACCCTCCGTCTTGGGACGGTGCAGAGCCTTCGCTGCAGTTCGCTGTATACAAGAAGAATGTGAGACTTTGGGAGTTTGAATCAGAAGTAGAAGAGAAGAAGCGAGGCGTCAGGCTTTTGAGGAGTTTGACGGGGGTTGCAAGGGCTGCTGCCGATAGTCTGGAATTTGAAGAAATCACCAGCACCAAAGGAGTGGAAAACATTCTTGGATGTTTGGAAAAACACTTTGCACCTCACTTAGAGGTTTCGTTGCCCCGGGCCTTTGAGAGGGCGATCTATGGAAACCCTAGGTCCCACAAAGAGAGCATTCAAGAATACTTGATCAGGTCAGAGCAGGCGTTCCACCTTTTAGAAAAAGAAGGGGTCAAGCTGCCAGAACAGGCTGTCGGCTATGTGATGTTCAGGCAGGCTGCTCTGACGGAAAATCAGGAGTTGCGCTTTGGTGCATGGGCTCAGGGCAAGTATGACAAAGGCACGGTGGTCTCATGCTTGCGGAAGCTCGACAAAGTGGTGCTGGAATCAAAGGGCAAGTCTTCAGTGGCATATATGCAGGAAGATGATGATGCAAGCGAGTCGATGCAGTTTTCAGGGGACTACATCGAGAACGAGGCCTATGTCCTTGATGAGGGTGAGGCGATGGAAGAGCAGTATGTGTACCTTTCTGAACATGATGAGAACAGGATCTATGATGAATCTGAAGTGCAGATGGTTTTGGCGACCTACCAGGAGGTGAGAAAGGCCATACAGGGTCGTCAGAAAGGTCGCCAATACTACAACCCTCAGAAGGGCAAGGGCAAGGAGCGAGGCTCACCTTGGCAAGACTTTGTCAAGGACAAGAAGCGCATCCACATAGAACAACTCAAACTTCGAACCCGTTGTGCGAAGTGTGGCAATGTGGGACACTGGGCGAAGGAATGCAAGAACTCGGAGGATTCCCGTGGCAAGGCTTGGAGCGCGGCTGCGGCATCTTCAAAAGGGGCTTCCAGCAGTCCGCCTTCTACCAGTGGTGGCCAAAGTTGGTATGTCTCCACGGATGCTGCTTCAGGAGCGACATCGTCAAAAGATTTTTGTTTAGTTGAGTGTAGGGGAAAACACACTCTTTTGAACACCAAAGGGTTTGGTGAAAATTTTGGGGTTGAGTCTAATGTTTGTGACTCAAAGGATGAGCGAGAGCCAGATCTTTTGAGAGCTGGTAAGTTAGTTTTTGATGTGTGCCAGGGTTCAAACAGAGCCACAAGCTTAGAGCAGTGCGGAGACAGGCATTGCATGTTTGTAGGTTTGACCACGAACCCAATGATGGGAATAGTGGACACAGCGGCGCAAGACGGACTTGTCGGTGATGCAGCGCTGAAACGGTTAAAAGGTCAGTTGCGGGCTCGTGGGCTTCAAGAAGTTTGGATTGACAAAGTTTGCAAGGCACATGGAGTTGGAGGTCAGGCAAAGGTTGTTGGCATGGCAGCACTTCCACTTGGTTTGGCGGGTTGCAGTGGCGTTTTAGAAGTTTCAGTCATCGAAGGAGATGTTCCATTACTTTTGCCTATCAAACTCCTTCGTGGTCTTCAAGCAGTTGTAGATTTGAGTTGTGACAGCATGCACTTGAAGAGTCTTGGACGTTCAGTTGAGTTGCATAGCCTTCCAAGTGGTCATGTTGCAGTGGATGTACTTGATTTTGGAGAAAGAGGTTTTTCTTTGCCATCGGAAGCCAGAGAAGCCGGATACACAGAGAGCGATTTTCGCTGTCATGGCTCAGAATCCGGATGTGTCATGTTGACCCACGTTCAACGACCTGAAAAAGTTGCCTACCATGTCGCGCGATCGCCTTGCTCTCTTCCGCCACGCCTTCAATCGTCCAAGTGCGGACTTTCAGCTGGTGGAGGAGCCCAGAGTTGTGCAGCGCAATCCCAAGAGAGCTCTTGCGCACTGGCGACAGATGCTGGACAAGGTGCACATGCTTCAATCTTTGATTGGGCTCGAGGACTCGGTAAATTCATGGCTGCCAGCGGCATCGATGGGGGTTCAGTCTTCTCCGCCATCGCAAGAGCAGCTGGCCGCGGCAATCATCGGAGCAGAGTCCCTCGCGCCTCAGAAGTCCAAAGTGGAGCCGCCGAAGAAGGTTTCGGAATGCACCCACCCTGCGGAGAGGCTTTCAACTTCGCAGAACCAGCATGCGGCATGGATCCTGTGTTGGGATTGCAATGCCCGTTGGAAGATTTCCAAGGAATTTGCAGGGCTGAAGACCAAGAAGGAGATGACAGGAAGTGCAACCAAGGCGCTGATCGCGCCTTCGACGCCGGCGAGTTCCGCCGAGATCTTCAAGCAGGAGGCAGAGATCCAAGCCCAAGAGCGTGTTCAAACCATGTACAACGAGCAGATCGAGTCCTTGCAGAATGTGGCCGCCATGAGTCAGACAGAAGTGCGTCAGTTGCGAATGGAACTGATGAATGCGGTGAAGAATCACCGCATCACCGAGATCATGATGAGCGAGTACGGGGCCATGGCGATGGGAGCTCGATACATGGAAAACAAGGGCTATCACGACAGCGAGATGCATGCCTACGCTCTGAGGCGATGGGAGAATGTGACCGAGGTGCAGGCGCTGGATCAAGTGTTGGAGGAGTGCCGGGATTCTCCAATGAGGGGTCCAGACAGGGCCAAGAATCCAAGAACCAGCCAGACCAGTTGATCTCTGAGGATGAGATGGAAGAGAATGCATTTCCTGGAGAAGCCCAGGGCACATGGATGAAGTTAGAAGGTGCGTCAATGATGGAAAGGGTGGCGTCCTTGAGACAGACTCCGCATTTTGCTGTGAGTCGTGTGTGCGTCAAAGATGGCGCGAACTTCTATGAGATTGAGAATGACAATGACCTTGAGTATGAGCCGGAATGCTATGTTCTTTTTCAGCAGACTGCCAGGGCAGTCATGGAGGACACATGTCCGGAGGAGAGAGGTTTCCATGGCAAAAAGTCTCAAGACCAAGTTGAGAAAGGCTTTGAAGGATGTGGCTTCAGCATGTTTTTCTGTGGACGTGAGTGAGATATACAGCCCTCCCCGTGTTACGACGGAGGCCAAGCGGCAGCACTTGAAAGCCGGAGGCGCTTATGACCTCAAAACCGGCTACAACCTCAGAATGACCAAAGACTTGCAACGAATGTGGAGTGAACTTCATGCAGATGACCCAGAACTCTTGCTGGGGAGTCCTCCTTGTACACCTTTTTCGCCGCTTCAGGAGCTGAACTTTCCGAAGATGGACTTTGAGAAAGCGGTGACGCTTGTTGGAGAAGGTTTGGAGCATGTAGTCACAACATGTGCGGCGGCCAAATGGCAATACAAGAGAGGCAAAATCTTTGTTTTAGAACACCCACTTCGTTCCAAAGCATGGGAGGAAGAATGTATGCTGGAGTTGATGGGCTTACCAGAAGTTCATGTTTGCGTGGTGGATCAGTGTGCATATGGGCTTCGAGTGGGTGAGAAGTTGAACAAAAAAACCAACTTGCTTCATCACAAACAGTCCTCACATTGCACAAGAGCTGAGACGCAGATGTTCAGGAGATCATGAGCACGATCACCTGCTTGGAGGCAAAGCCGCTGCCGCGGCAATCTACCCACCAGGGTTGTGTAAGGCCATTGTGCGTGGTCTGAAACGACATCTCCGTCACCAAAGGGGCCCTTGTCAAGGAGTTCCATGTGAGGCACTAGCAGTTTTGGCGACAGAGGTGCTTCCCCCCCAAGATGCTGACGTCCTTGAAGACGTCTTCCCAGAGGAGATTCAAGAACCTAGAGAAAGCCAGAAGGAGAAGCCAAGAGCGGCTGTAGAAGTTTCCAATGAGGACAAAGCAAAGGTCATGAAAATGCACGTGAACCTGGGCCATCCTGCAAGAGACAGCTTTATCAGATTCCTGCGAGCGGGCAGGATTCGTGAGGAAGTGGTGCGTTGGGTCATCAGAGAGTTTCGCTGCGAGAAGTGCATTGGAAGAGCACTTCCCAAAGCACCGAGGCCAGCTGTGGTGCCTAAGTGCTACAAGCCTGGAGTTGCAGTGGGGTTGGACTTGTTTTACATACCAGATTTGATAAACAAGAGGTCATACCCCATTCTCAACATCCTTGATCTGGGCACCAATTACCAAATGATCGAGCTGTTGGACAACAAGGAGCCAAGCTCATTGTGGAGGGCCTTTTGGAGAGCGTGGTGCAGAACTTTTGGTATGCCGCAGTATATCTCTGTGGACGAGGGTCTGGAGTTCAGAGGAGACTTCACCCAGTGGTGCGCTGGGTTTGGCACAGTGGTTTTCCGAGCAGCAGGAAGAGCTCCATGGCAACAAGGTAAAGTGGAAAGACATGGAGGTTTGATGAAGGATATGATCGCGAAAGCTCGAGAGTCGGCTGCTCTTGAGTCTCGTGAAGAACTACGTCTTTTGCTGCAAGAGTGCGAGTGTGCCAAAAACAGGTTTATGAACCGGTCTGGGTACAGTCCGGTGCAGCGGCAGGTGGGGCAGTGGCCTCGTTTGCCTGGATCGCTGATGAGTGATGAAGCTCTAGACCCTGCACTCCAGAGCCAGAACACCACAGATGACTTCGACAGGCTTTTAGCCCTTCGAAAGATAGCCCAAGAAGCTTTCGTGAAGATGGCAAGTCAGGAGGCGGCAGCCAAGTCTTTGAGGGCGAGGCCGAGGTTGCAGCGTATGTTCAAAGCAGGTGAAGTGGTCTATGTTTTCAGGGCCTTGCGCAAAAAGAAGTTGGTCCATGGAGAGGCAAAGGCTTCAAGAGGAGCAGGTGGAGGCAGAAAAGCAACATGGGTCGGTCCAGGACATGTGCTAGCCATGGAAGGTTCAGTGGTTTGGGTCAATATGTTCGGTGAGCTGTGGAGAGCGTCAGTGGAGCAGACCCGAGAAGCCACTACAAGCGAGCGCTTAGGAGTTGAGATGGTGGCAGAGGACTTTAGTGAGATGCAAGAGCGTCTGAAGAGAAGTGCTCATCGCTCAGGCTATCGAGACGTCACAGGTGATCTTCCAGAAGAAGAAGAACCAGAGGTAGATGACGTTGAGAAAGAAGGCATTGAGAGAGGCAGACCCAGAGTGCGTTTTGAGGAGGAAGAATATGAGCCTGGTACACCTTTGCCAGAAACTCCGGACGAGGAGCTTCAGTTGAGGAGCCGAAGGATGTCAGATGCTACGGTGCCAGAACCAGACTGCGAACAGGTGTCCGCAGTCAACACACCCAGACCAGAAGGAGCTCAACCAGGTTCTCTCACATTTCCCAATGCTCAGGACGTACAACAAGAGCTAGATCAGTTGGATGAGACCGCTCAAGCTGTGGCACAAGAGGCCATGACACAGTCAGTCATGCGAAACAACGTCCTAGATGGGCTTCCTGAGAACTATGGTGCAGCGAGAGGAAGTGTGGCCCGACGTTGGGAGAGGAGACATGATAGGCCATATTTTTCAGAAGTCTTTTTGATGACAGAGGATGAGAAGGTTGAACCAGCAGGGCCAGATCCAACACAGGATTACTGGGTGTATGATGAGCATCGCCAGGTCCTTCAGAGGCATCATGTGCAGTGGAGAAAAGCTCTCTTCAATCCCTCACAGGTTGAAGGAAGACCAGTTCCTTTGAGGGCCTTGAAACAACAGAGGATCACCAAACGTATGACTGCAAAGGGCGTAGAGGAGGTCAAAGATGTTTGGTCGTTGTTTTCAAAGCGAGAGGAGCGTTTTGAGTGGTGGAAAGGCATTACAGAGTTTGAGGTAGATGCCCACTACTTGAATCAAGGTCCAAAGGCAGCAGGCAAAAAGAGAGGTGAAGGAGAGGTGTTCGCACATGAAATTCCAGAAGAAGAGTGGCCAGCATGGAAAGAACAAGACCTTGAGGAGTTCAACAAGATCGTCAAAAGCGGCGCTCTCAAGGTGCTCAGTTTGGAGGAGTCAGAGAAGGTACGTCAGGAGCTGAAAGAAACCGGGAAGCTTGACCGAATTTTGCCAAGTAGGATGGTCAGAAGATACAAACCAGGTGATGGTCCAGGGTTGCCCAGAACGAGAAAGTCAAGGTTTTGCATCAGAGGAGATAAAGATCCAGATGCCATTTACCTGTCACGTTTTGCACCCACAGTGACTACATCCAACTTGCAGATTCTTTTTCAAGCGGCGGTGAACAAGGGCTTCCGCGGTGTAGTGGGAGATCTCAAGTCAGCTTTCACTCAAAGCCTTCCACTTTTTCGAGCTGGAGGAAAGCTCTACTGCAAGTCGTGCAATGGCTCGATGCCAGGTCTTCAAGAAGGTCAGTTGGCTGAGATTGTTTTGGGATGCTACGGATTGTGTGATGCGCCGATGCACTGGCGCAAAACTTTGGTGTCTTTCTTGACCCAGACTCTTGGCTACAAGCAATCAGCGCTTGACCCTTGCACCTTCCTACTTCATGGTCCCAAAGGAGGCTCTAAAGTATGTCATGGCGTAGACGCAGAAGAACATGTTTTGCATGGTATGGTAGCTGTGGAGATCGATGATCTTTTGATGTTTGGCGACAGTGTACATGAAGAAAAGATGAAAGAGCTTCAGCAAAAGTTCACCTTTGGAAAGATTGAACCACTTGATGAGCGAGGGGTGAACTTCAATGGTCGTCGCCTGAGACAGATTGGCGACACAATCTTTGTCGACATGAAGGCCTTTGTGGAAGAGCGATTGGAGACAGTGGAGCTTGGAAAGGAACGTCAAAAATGCAAAAGAGAGAAGCTGACTGATGACGAAGTTAGCTTGGTGAGAAAGGCATGTGGTTCATTGAACTGGGCAGGGCGTGAAGGCCGTCCAGATGCAGCTGCTGCAGCATCTATGTTCTCCTCTACCATGCTGGAGATGACCGTAGAGGATGTAGCTGAACTGAACCGAGTGATCCTTCGTATAAAGGAAACCTCAGAGATGTCCCTGCAGATCCAAGCAATTGATGAAGCTCGCCTTCGATGGGGCGTTGTCACAGATGCCTCGTATGCCAACGCTCGTGGAGGAAAAACTCAGGGAGGTCATCTTCTTTTGGCCTTTGACCAGGACATGCTGAGTGGCAAGTTGGCAAAATGCAATTTGCTCCATTGGAAGAGCGGCAAGTTGCCCAGGACGGTAAACAGCACTTTGGCAGCCGAGACTCAATCTTTGGCAAGGGGCATTGGTGATCTACTTTGGATGATCGTCATGTATGCAGAGGTGGTCGATCCGAGCTTTGATCTTCGCAATTGGCGGAGGCATGTCAATAAGCTGGGCTATACAGCTTTCACCAAAAACGAAGATGAAGATGAGATGGCCGGAGCGGTAGCAGTGGTGGATGCGAAATCTCTGTTTGACGTTTTGGCCAACGAGACGAATGGTGGAAGTGACCGGCGCACGGCACTTGACGTGCAGATGCTGAGGGAAGAATTAGCAGAGCTTCACGGAAAAATTCGATGGATAGACCATATGCACATGCCAGCTGATTGTTTGACGAAGAAACGCGGTAGAGTAGATCAACTGGTGTCCATGTTGCAAACCGGATTGTTCGGAATCACTGCTGAAGCTGTTACCTTGGGTTGTCGTTTGAATGACAGAGAGCAACATGGGTACAACCGGCGATAGGCTTTGGTCAAAAACAATTTCTTTGGAGCTGTGAAACGGACAGCTGTGTTGACCAAAGCAACCCCATTCATGAGTGCAGAGCCATTCACCTTTATTTACTTCTCAGCCTTTTTAGGCACAGATGGTAGGCCAGGTGAGCCTCGCGGTCCCCGCAAAATCGCTGCGTGCATCTTCAGCTGCCATTGAGACTTGTTCTCAACTTGATACTATTTGGTTACATTAATATTCGCATGTATCTTAAAACATCCTGCACGTTGGTATGTACCGCGTATCCTTACCGCGCATCCTCGGCCAGGATGGTAATGGTGTGGTGAACTTTGGGGAGTTTGCATCCTGGGCTGGGCCACGGCTTGGCTTGGAATTGGGCCTTGCCTCTCAGACTTTTCGGGATTTTCCAGTGTTCTCAGGGATTTTCTACAGTTTTACAAAAGATTTGAAAACACAGAAAGAAGGGCAGTTATTCTTTTGCTATGTGATATTTTGATCGAGCTGACAGAAAGGGATTGGGTCAACTTTCTCTTTGACTGACAGGTGTAGCAAAGATGCTTGGCAAGCTATCCTCTCAGTTCTGTTCTGCAGGGAGGGTTGCGATAGCTGCAATGTGAATTTCCACAATGCCTTGGCTAAACACCAGGTCAGCCAGCCTCATGATGGCTTCGTCTCCCTGCAGTGTCATTGGTTGTCCTTGTGAATCATGGGGAGGACACGAGGCGGGCAGAGCTAAAGTCAGCTTTAGCAGCTGGAAAGGTTTCAAAGGTTTAAAAGGTTTACTATTCTGACTTGCCAGGATGACCAACACGACAAGAAATGCAAGGACTGCAATCATGAAGCCTGATTTCGCAGATTTATTCAAAAGCCTTGCGGAGACAGCATATAGGTTTGATAGGAATGCATGCGAAGCGCATGATGGCTTCAGGAATGCAAACATAAGAAAGGCTTACACGTGGCGAAAGCAACAACTGGCGAAGTTCCGTGGGATTCTGAAAGATTGACAGCTCTGGCAGAATCTCTGCCGAAATCACATAACTTTGGAGCCACTTTGCACAGCTGCTAGTGACTGCTAGTGGCTCCAAAGTCACCGTCGTCTCGAGGTTGCCGCCCTATTGGGACCATCAAGACGGTGACTTTAACGACCTCATTCCAATGACAGGCGCGTGTTTCAGGGTACGCACTCCCTGAAAGACGATGACAATGAAATCTAAGCTGCCACTTCAGATGTTCTCGACAACCACCACCTTTGGACTTTGGATATGTTGTGGAGCTAATTACAACGGTCGGAGGACGCAAAGAAAGATGATCTTGTTGCCACCGCCGTAGCTGACAGGCAAGAATGTGAAAGAAGAGTTTCAAAAGCTTCTTGACAAGACCTATAGGCCTGAAACCTGGAACCCAGCAGCTTCAGAATTGAAGGAAGACACAACCAGAAGTGTATTGATGGGGATAGGTCGGATAGGTGTCGACATTAGCTTAATTGTTCAAATATCAATCTGTGAAACGGACAGCTGTGTTGACCAAAGCAACCCCATTCATGAGTGCAGAGCCATTCACCTTTATTTACTTCTCAGCCTTTTTAGGCACAGATGGTAGGCCAGGTGAGCCTCGCGGTCCCCGCAAAATCGCTGCGTGCATCTTCAGCTGCCATTGAGACTTGTTCTCAGTGGCAGCGGAGCCATGAGCTCGGATCCAGGGGTGACCACCTCTTTCCAGGGCAGAGAGCCCAACCCTCCGTCTTGGGACGGTGCAGAGCCTTCGCTGCAGTTCGCTGTATACAAGAAGAATGTGAGACTTTGGGAGTTTGAATCAGAAGTAGAAGAGAAGAAGCGAGGCGTCAGGCTTTTGAGGAGTTTGACGGGGGTTGCAAGGGCTGCTGCCGATAGTCTGGAATTTGAAGAAATCACCAGCACCAAAGGAGTGGAAAACATTCTTGGATGTTTGGAAAAACACTTTGCACCTCACTTAGAGGTTTCGTTGCCCCGGGCCTTTGAGAGGGCGATCTATGGAAACCCTAGGTCCCACAAAGAGAGCATTCAAGAATACTTGATCAGGTCAGAGCAGGCGTTCCACCTTTTAGAAAAAGAAGGGGTCAAGCTGCCAGAACAGGCTGTCGGCTATGTGATGTTCAGGCAGGCTGCTCTGACGGAAAATCAGGAGTTGCGCTTTGGTGCATGGGCTCAGGGCAAGTATGACAAAGGCACGGTGGTCTCATGCTTGCGGAAGCTCGACAAAGTGGTGCTGGAATCAAAGGGCAAGTCTTCAGTGGCATATATGCAGGAAGATGATGATGCAAGCGAGTCGATGCAGTTTTCAGGGGACTACATCGAGAACGAGGCCTATGTCCTTGATGAGGGTGAGGCGATGGAAGAGCAGTATGTGTACCTTTCTGAACATGATGAGAACAGGATCTATGATGAATCTGAAGTGCAGATGGTTTTGGCGACCTACCAGGAGGTGAGAAAGGCCATACAGGGTCGTCAGAAAGGTCGCCAATACTACAACCCTCAGAAGGGCAAGGGCAAGGAGCGAGGCTCACCTTGGCAAGACTTTGTCAAGGACAAGAAGCGCATCCACATAGAACAACTCAAACTTCGAACCCGTTGTGCGAAGTGTGGCAATGTGGGACACTGGGCGAAGGAATGCAAGAACTCGGAGGATTCCCGTGGCAAGGCTTGGAGCGCGGCTGCGGCATCTTCAAAAGGGGCTTCCAGCAGTCCGCCTTCTACCAGTGGTGGCCAAAGTTGGTATGTCTCCACGGATGCTGCTTCAGGAGCGACATCGTCAAAAGATTTTTGTTTAGTTGAGTGTAGGGGAAAACACACTCTTTTGAACACCAAAGGGTTTGGTGAAAATTTTGGGGTTGAGTCTAATGTTTGTGACTCAAAGGATGAGCGAGAGCCAGATCTTTTGAGAGCTGGTAAGTTAGTTTTTGATGTGTGCCAGGGTTCAAACAGAGCCACAAGCTTAGAGCAGTGCGGAGACAGGCATTGCATGTTTGTAGGTTTGACCACGAACCCAATGATGGGAATAGTGGACACAGCGGCGCAAGACGGACTTGTCGGTGATGCAGCGCTGAAACGGTTAAAAGGTCAGTTGCGGGCTCGTGGGCTTCAAGAAGTTTGGATTGACAAAGTTTGCAAGGCACATGGAGTTGGAGGTCAGGCAAAGGTTGTTGGCATGGCAGCACTTCCACTTGGTTTGGCGGGTTGCAGTGGCGTTTTAGAAGTTTCAGTCATCGAAGGAGATGTTCCATTACTTTGCCTATCAAACTCCTTCGTGGTCTTCAAGCAGTTGTAGATTTGAGTTGTGACAGCATGCACTTGAAGAGTCTTGGACGTTCAGTTGAGTTGCATAGCCTTCCAAGTGGTCATGTTGCAGTGGATGTACTTGATTTTGGAGAAAGAGGTTTTTCTTTGCCATCGGAAGCCAGAGAAGCCGGATACACAGAGAGCGATTTTCGCTGTCATGGCTCAGAATCCGGATGTGTCATGTTGACCCACGTTCAACGACCTGAAAAAGTTGCCTACCATGTCGCGCGATCGCCTTGCTCTCTTCCGCCACGCCTTCAATCGTCCAAGTGCGGACTTTCAGCTGGTGGAGGAGCCCAGAGTTGTGCAGCGCAATCCCAAGAGAGCTCTTGCGCACTGGCGACAGATGCTGGACAAGGTGCACATGCTTCAATCTTTGATTGGGCTCGAGGACTCGGTAAATTCATGGCTGCCAGCGGCATCGATGGGGGTTCAGTCTTCTCCGCCATCGCAAGAGCAGCTGGCCGCGGCAATCATCGGAGCAGAGTCCCTCGCGCCTCAGAAGTCCAAAGTGGAGCCGCCGAAGAAGGTTTCGGAATGCACCCACCCTGCGGAGAGGCTTTCAACTTCGCAGAACCAGCATGCGGCATGGATCCTGTGTTGGGATTGCAATGCCCGTTGGAAGATTTCCAAGGAATTTGCAGGGCTGAAGACCAAGAAGGAGATGACAGGAAGTGCAACCAAGGCGCTGATCGCGCCTTCGACGCCGGCGAGTTCCGCCGAGATCTTCAAGCAGGAGGCAGAGATCCAAGCCCAAGAGCGTGTTCAAACCATGTACAACGAGCAGATCGAGTCCTTGCAGAATGTGGCCGCCATGAGTCAGACAGAAGTGCGTCAGTTGCGAATGGAACTGATGAATGCGGTGAAGAATCACCGCATCACCGAGATCATGATGAGCGAGTACGGGGCCATGGCGATGGGAGCTCGATACATGGAAAACAAGGGCTATCACGACAGCGAGATGCATGCCTACGCTCTGAGGCGATGGGAGAATGTGACCGAGGTGCAGGCGCTGGATCAAGTGTTGGAGGAGTGCCGGGATTCTCCAATGAGGGGTCCAGACAGGGCCAAGAATCCAAGAACCAGCCAGACCAGTTGATCTCTGAGGATGAGATGGAAGAGAATGCATTTCCTGGAGAAGCCCAGGGCACATGGATGAAGTTAGAAGGTGCGTCAATGATGGAAAGGGTGGCGTCCTTGAGACAGACTCCGCATTTTGCTGTGAGTCGTGTGTGCGTCAAAGATGGCGCGAACTTCTATGAGATTGAGAATGACAATGACCTTGAGTATGAGCCGGAATGCTATGTTCTTTTTCAGCAGACTGCCAGGGCAGTCATGGAGGACACATGTCCGGAGGAGAGAGGTTTCCATGGCAAAAAGTCTCAAGACCAAGTTGAGAAAGGCTTTGAAGGATGTGGCTTCAGCATGTTTTTCTGTGGACGTGAGTGAGATATACAGCCCTCCCCGTGTTACGACGGAGGCCAAGCGGCAGCACTTGAAAGCCGGAGGCGCTTATGACCTCAAAACCGGCTACAACCTCAGAATGACCAAAGACTTGCAACGAATGTGGAGTGAACTTCATGCAGATGACCCAGAACTCTTGCTGGGGAGTCCTCCTTGTACACCTTTTTCGCCGCTTCAGGAGCTGAACTTTCCGAAGATGGACTTTGAGAAAGCGGTGACGCTTGTTGGAGAAGGTTTGGAGCATGTAGTCACAACATGTGCGGCGGCCAAATGGCAATACAAGAGAGGCAAAATCTTTGTTTTAGAACACCCACTTCGTTCCAAAGCATGGGAGGAAGAATGTATGCTGGAGTTGATGGGCTTACCAGAAGTTCATGTTTGCGTGGTGGATCAGTGTGCATATGGGCTTCGAGTGGGTGAGAAGTTGAACAAAAAAACCAACTTGCTTCATCACAAACAGTCCTCACATTGCACAAGAGCTGAGACGCAGATGTTCAGGAGATCATGAGCACGATCACCTGCTTGGAGGCAAAGCCGCTGCCGCGGCAATCTACCCACCAGGGTTGTGTAAGGCCATTGTGCGTGGTCTGAAACGACATCTCCGTCACCAAAGGGGCCCTTGTCAAGGAGTTCCATGTGAGGCACTAGCAGTTTTGGCGACAGAGGTGCTTCCCCCCCAAGATGCTGACGTCCTTGAAGACGTCTTCCCAGAGGAGATTCAAGAACCTAGAGAAAGCCAGAAGGAGAAGCCAAGAGCGGCTGTAGAAGTTTCCAATGAGGACAAAGCAAAGGTCATGAAAATGCACGTGAACCTGGGCCATCCTGCAAGAGACAGCTTTATCAGATTCCTGCGAGCGGGCAGGATTCGTGAGGAAGTGGTGCGTTGGGTCATCAGAGAGTTTCGCTGCGAGAAGTGCATTGGAAGAGCACTTCCCAAAGCACCGAGGCCAGCTGTGGTGCCTAAGTGCTACAAGCCTGGAGTTGCAGTGGGGTTGGACTTGTTTTACATACCAGATTTGATAAACAAGAGGTCATACCCCATTCTCAACATCCTTGATCTGGGCACCAATTACCAAATGATCGAGCTGTTGGACAACAAGGAGCCAAGCTCATTGTGGAGGGCCTTTTGGAGAGCGTGGTGCAGAACTTTTGGTATGCCGCAGTATATCTCTGTGGACGAGGGTCTGGAGTTCAGAGGAGACTTCACCCAGTGGTGCGCTGGGTTTGGCACAGTGGTTTTCCGAGCAGCAGGAAGAGCTCCATGGCAACAAGGTAAAGTGGAAAGACATGGAGGTTTGATGAAGGATATGATCGCGAAAGCTCGAGAGTCGGCTGCTCTTGAGTCTCGTGAAGAACTACGTCTTTTGCTGCAAGAGTGCGAGTGTGCCAAAAACAGGTTTATGAACCGGTCTGGGTACAGTCCGGTGCAGCGGCAGGTGGGGCAGTGGCCTCGTTTGCCTGGATCGCTGATGAGTGATGAAGCTCTAGACCCTGCACTCCAGAGCCAGAACACCACAGATGACTTCGACAGGCTTTTAGCCCTTCGAAAGATAGCCCAAGAAGCTTTCGTGAAGATGGCAAGTCAGGAGGCGGCAGCCAAGTCTTTGAGGGCGAGGCCGAGGTTGCAGCGTATGTTCAAAGCAGGTGAAGTGGTCTATGTTTTCAGGGCCTTGCGCAAAAAGAAGTTGGTCCATGGAGAGGCAAAGGCTTCAAGAGGAGCAGGTGGAGGCAGAAAAGCAACATGGGTCGGTCCAGGACATGTGCTAGCCATGGAAGGTTCAGTGGTTTGGGTCAATATGTTCGGTGAGCTGTGGAGAGCGTCAGTGGAGCAGACCCGAGAAGCCACTACAAGCGAGCGCTTAGGAGTTGAGATGGTGGCAGAGGACTTTAGTGAGATGCAAGAGCGTCTGAAGAGAAGTGCTCATCGCTCAGGCTATCGAGACGTCACAGGTGATCTTCCAGAAGAAGAAGAACCAGAGGTAGATGACGTTGAGAAAGAAGGCATTGAGAGAGGCAGACCCAGAGTGCGTTTTGAGGAGGAAGAATATGAGCCTGGTACACCTTTGCCAGAAACTCCGGACGAGGAGCTTCAGTTGAGGAGCCGAAGGATGTCAGATGCTACGGTGCCAGAACCAGACTGCGAACAGGTGTCCGCAGTCAACACACCCAGACCAGAAGGAGCTCAACCAGGTTCTCTCACATTTCCCAATGCTCAGGACGTACAACAAGAGCTAGATCAGTTGGATGAGACCGCTCAAGCTGTGGCACAAGAGGCCATGACACAGTCAGTCATGCGAAACAACGTCCTAGATGGGCTTCCTGAGAACTATGGTGCAGCGAGAGGAAGTGTGGCCCGACGTTGGGAGAGGAGACATGATAGGCCATATTTTTCAGAAGTCTTTTTGATGACAGAGGATGAGAAGGTTGAACCAGCAGGGCCAGATCCAACACAGGATTACTGGGTGTATGATGAGCATCGCCAGGTCCTTCAGAGGCATCATGTGCAGTGGAGAAAAGCTCTCTTCAATCCCTCACAGGTTGAAGGAAGACCAGTTCCTTTGAGGGCCTTGAAACAACAGAGGATCACCAAACGTATGACTGCAAAGGGCGTAGAGGAGGTCAAAGATGTTTGGTCGTTGTTTTCAAAGCGAGAGGAGCGTTTTGAGTGGTGGAAAGGCATTACAGAGTTTGAGGTAGATGCCCACTACTTGAATCAAGGTCCAAAGGCAGCAGGCAAAAAGAGAGGTGAAGGAGAGGTGTTCGCACATGAAATTCCAGAAGAAGAGTGGCCAGCATGGAAAGAACAAGACCTTGAGGAGTTCAACAAGATCGTCAAAAGCGGCGCTCTCAAGGTGCTCAGTTTGGAGGAGTCAGAGAAGGTACGTCAGGAGCTGAAAGAAACCGGGAAGCTTGACAGAATTTTGCCAAGTAGGATGGTCAGAAGATACAAACCAGGTGATGGTCCAGGGTTGCCCAGAACGAGAAAGTCAAGGTTTTGCATCAGAGGAGATAAAGATCCAGATGCCATTTACCTGTCACGTTTTGCACCCACAGTGACTACATCCAACTTGCAGATTCTTTTTCAAGCGGCGGTGAACAAGGGCTTCCGCGGTGTAGTGGGAGATCTCAAGTCAGCTTTCACTCAAAGCCTTCCACTTTTTCGAGCTGGAGGAAAGCTCTACTGCAAGTCGTGCAATGGCTCGATGCCAGGTCTTCAAGAAGGTCAGTTGGCTGAGATTGTTTTGGGATGCTACGGATTGTGTGATGCGCCGATGCACTGGCGCAAAACTTTGGTGTCTTTCTTGACCCAGACTCTTGGCTACAAGCAATCAGCGCTTGACCCTTGCACCTTCCTACTTCATGGTCCCAAAGGAGGCTCTAAAGTATGTCATGGCGTAGACGCAGAAGAACATGTTTTGCATGGTATGGTAGCTGTGGAGATCGATGATCTTTTGATGTTTGGCGACAGTGTACATGAAGAAAAGATGAAAGAGCTTCAGCAAAAGTTCACCTTTGGAAAGATTGAACCACTTGATGAGCGAGGGGTGAACTTCAATGGTCGTCGCCTGAGACAGATTGGCGACACAATCTTTGTCGACATGAAGGCCTTTGTGGAAGAGCGATTGGAGACAGTGGAGCTTGGAAAGGAACGTCAAAAATGCAAAAGAGAGAAGCTGACTGATGACGAAGTTAGCTTGGTGAGAAAGGCGTGTGGTTCATTGAACTGGGCAGGGCGTGAAGGCCGTCCAGATGCAGCTGCTGCAGCATCTATGTTCTCCTCTACCATGCTGGAGATGACCGTAGAGGATGTAGCTGAACTGAACCGAGTGATCCTTCGTATAAAGGAAACCTCAGAGATGTCCCTGCAGATCCAAGCAATTGATGAAGCTCGCCTTCGATGGGGCGTTGTCACAGATGCCTCGTATGCCAACGCTCGTGGAGGAAAAACTCAGGGAGGTCATCTTCTTTTGGCCTTTGACCAGGACATGCTGAGTGGCAAGTTGGCAAAATGCAATTTGCTCCATTGGAAGAGCGGCAAGTTGCCCAGGACGGTAAACAGCACTTTGGCAGCCGAGACTCAATCTTTGGCAAGGGGCATTGGTGATCTACTTTGGATGATCGTCATGTATGCAGAGGTGGTCGATCCGAGCTTTGATCTTCGCAATTGGCGGAGGCATGTCAATAAGCTGGGCTATACAGCTTTCACCAAAAACGAAGATGAAGATGAGATGGCCGGAGCGGTAGCAGTGGTGGATGCGAAATCTCTGTTTGACGTTTTGGCCAACGAGACGAATGGTGGAAGTGACCGGCGCACGGCACTTGACGTGCAGATGCTGAGGGAAGAATTAGCAGAGCTTCACGGAAAAATTCGATGGATAGACCATATGCACATGCCAGCTGATTGTTTGACGAAGAAACGCGGTAGAGTAGATCAACTGGTGTCCATGTTGCAAACCGGATTGTTCGGAATCACTGCTGAAGCTGTTACCTTGGGTTGTCGTTTGAATGACAGAGAGCAACATGGGTACAACCGGCGATAGGCTTTGGTCAAAAACAATTTCTTTGGAGCTGTGAAACGGACAGCTGTGTTGACCAAAGCAACCCCATTCATGAGTGCAGAGCCATTCACCTTTATTTACTTCTCAGCCTTTTTAGGCACAGATGGTAGGCCAGGTGAGCCTCGCGGTCCCCGCAAAATCGCTGCGTGCATCTTCAGCTGCCATTGAGACTTGTTCTCACAATCCCATTCCAAAAGGATCCCAGAATTCCGTAGAATTGGAAAGTGACTGAATTTTGTTCGAGCCGTTCGTCTCTGCGGCGTAGCTTCATGCCGGTAAAGTTTGCCACATGTGAATGCATTGGAATTTGAAATTTATCTTTGTGGAATCTTTGCTAGGAAAGCCTATACCAAAGACCGCGGCAAGCACAACCCAACCAACCCGAAGGCCGTGACAAAGCTGTTGCAGATTTCGGAATTGCTACCCGCTCCGGTGGGCCACCAGTGCTGCCGTTGCTTGTTGCCTTTGCTCGGGTGCACCACGTGCTTTGAGGGCTGCCGAGGTGGCTCTGGTGAGTGCTGCTGTTTTGGCAGCGGCTGCTGTTTGCAGCGGCTGCTCTTTTCACCTCTTTTCTTTCATCGTGGTTGCTATGCCTCTGTTGGGCCGCGATTCCAATTCAGCTTGCCAGTATCTTTGGCGGTGGTTTGCTGGTCCGCTGGGTTTCCAACTTTCAAGCTTATGTTTTGATCTCTTTCTTGGCCTTTGTTGAATCCAATTTCGGCAGCCCGAAGAAAGCATGTGATATGAATGGCCTTTCCAATATCATCCACCATCTGTCCAGACTGGTACCTGATAGTCTTAAAATGTCTTAGATATTCAATGACTGTACTTGGCATGGCTCATGTCAGGTCCCCAAGGGCTTCGAAGTCCTCGCCGTGAAACGAAATGAGAACAAGCACGCCTGGCAGGACCAAACGATTTGCAGAATCTCATTTCAGCAAACTCGTAGCTGATTTCAACATACATATTATTACAAACCTGCTGGGATGCAAAGTCATGCGAAGTCGTTCCTTGGCTGTGCCCTCTGATTCAGTTTATCCTTGTCGGACCATGCCACCAAATGGGAGGAATACGCCTTCAGGCGTGGGGATATTAGGAATCGAAGCGAACTTCCCGCTGCTCGGCAGAAGCAACGGTACCAGATCAAGATGGCAAGAGGGCTGACAAATCAAGGCAAGTCAGCAGCATTTCCTCAAGCTTCACTTATTACTATTCAGATGCATACGCATCAAGCCTTGCTTACGGTATGTATTGGAAAGGGATCGGTTAGGGAAAAAGAATGGACGGGGGAATGCCAAGGATGCACCACTCCGCTAGAATTCCTATCTGAAGTTTTTGTGGATCTCAGGTGATGTTCGCTGATGTCAAGACAAGTCTCGCAATGGATGAAATCGGAGGAGACAAGGCTTGTTGCTGATTCTCTTACCAAATCAATGCCTGCCATGTCATCAAGTCCAGCGCTCATGCAAGGCCAACCGGTTGCTCTCTGAGTGTGGCTTGGTGTATAATATAAAGAGAAGGACTTCAAGTTTACATAAGTTTACTATGGGGTTCTGATGCGTCTTGTGTGGGAACTTTGAACCCAAGATGCAGCAAAGTGCCTTGAAGTGACACCATCTGAAGGTAACGAGTGGTACCTTTTTCACGGCACCAATCCAGATGCAGCAAGTGCAATTTGTAGAGCGCTCGGTTTTGTAAATCCTCCAGAATGCTTTCAGAGAACACTTCAAGTCAAGTCAGCGTGGAGCATGGAACAAGCGCGAATACTTCACTTTAAGACTGACCTGCAGGCAAATCAGACTTCAAAGTGAGTCGAGCTGGCTCTAGCACTGGCACTCTATACGGCAAAGGACTTCCAAAGACACGACTTCCAAAGATCTTTGATGTTGTTTTCGGTCACTGAGTGGCCCGAATTGTGGAACTGTGTTTGTTGCTGTCGGAGAGAAACAAGTGGCATGCATGGCGGCGACATTCCAGGGGTCATGGGTGCTTAGAGGTGTGCGTCTTACATAGGCTCAGTATGCAAACACAACATTTCACACTACCTTCCAAGCAGTTCATGGTAAGAATTGCAACTCCTTTCATCTCTTTTCCAGGACTCTATTTTGCAGAGTCCATCACCAAGGTGCGTCAGAAAAGCTCAGCAAACACCCTTTGAAGTGAACTGAATGGACAGGCTGATGAGTATGCCAAGCCCAACAGTGAGGGACGTTATGCAGTCGGGTGGCCAAGAAAATGCCAGAGAGCAGCAGGTCAGAAGCAGCGAGTTGACTGAGTTGTGACTACTAGCATGCGCGGTAGCAGTTCATGATAGTTCACAATATTAATCTTTATGTACCTGCATATATGAGTATGTTGATTCAACGGAGGCATGAGCCATGAATTGGTTTGTTGGTGACGGGAGAAACAACTCAAGCCTTGGTAAATCGATAACATCTTCAGATCCAGCTCCGGTGGATGCAAGAAAAAAAGGGTATTGGATGAACATTGATGAACAAACTGGAATTGATTTGATGGCAGGTAGCCCTTTTTGATCCCCTTTGTGCACTATTTGAAAGAAAAGCTTACGGGATATTGGCCTCAACCTCGAAATTGGGCAAACGCATCACTTGTCCCAGGTACTACTATGTCGCGTCATTGGTGGCAACGTGAATTACACCGATGAAGTCACTCCAGATCCTGAAGTGAGCTTCTCAGCTTCTAGGTTTCGCAGAGCTTCATGTTAGCTTACCAACACATCTTAGGCCACCGTATGTTGGGACTGAAACAGATTGAAGAGACCTCAGTTGCAGATCTTGATATAATTTCTTGATACTTATATTGAGGCACTGGTACATTCTTGCATTGAAGGGGAGTACGACTCAGTCTGTGGTGACCGTGAGAAGACTCGGGGAACGTACAGGCAGGATCTAGACAGCTTAATATAGAGCCATGATGCCAGATCGGAGTGATTGCACAGCATGATGTAAGTATCACAGCGTGAGTATTTTCTTCCAGACTTGTGTAGTCTTTCAATGCAGGGAGTTCGTACTATTCGACTCTGAAGATGTCTATGTTGAATACGTGCAGCTCTTGGTTGTGCTTTCTGAACCCTCTTGCAAGACTTAGGGCATTTTGTTCAAATCCTTGTCGCTAAAGCTTGGACTTGAGTGATTGGGTCGCTTCACTTTTTGGATCAGCGCGACCGGCTTTAGTTCGCGCTGCTGTCCCCTTTGCGTGTAGACAGCTTTTCGTTTCCAGCATGGCCCTGAAGTCCCTGGTGAGCAACTGGGTTGCTGATGGTCAGCACAGCCACGATGGGCACTCGACGTGCTTGGCAGATAGTCACCATGGACATGCATTTGGCCCTATGGCATCCAGCTTTACGGCCTTCTTCCCTGATGCAGTGGCTCCTCATCACTCTGATCACTTCCTGCCATCCATCGCGCCAGAGACGGTGCACCAAGGTGACGCAGCTCACTTGGACCAGTTCGACCAGTCATTGCTGGCGACACGGCGCCCAAAGACCTACGTGAGCTTCCACAAGGAGGAGGGCGAAAAGAAGGAAGGAGAGTGAGCACTTGCCTGCTATTGATTAAGGAGATGATGTCCTGAGAGTAGAGTGCGGACCAGTAGTGAGTTTGAGCATAGAATGTTTGCAAGAGAGGAGGAATCAAAGAAACAATTTGAATATATACCATGCAGCTTTGCCAGTCTGGCTGGTTTCGATCGTGTGCACTCGGGTGATGTTGGTTGTTCATGGTTGTTCATAGCTCAGCAGAATTGAATTGCTTGAAAGCTGTCCATGCTGTCATGGGTATGCTAGAAATTGAAGCGGATCCCGAGTGATTTCGATCTATCAATCTGCGGTTCCGAGCGTTTGCAGGCAGTGTGCCATGGAAAATCAAGTCTGATGCTTTGATTTCCTTGTCTCGGTTTTGTTTCTGTTTAGTTTTGTCTCTAAAAACAGAGTTGCTCTGGACGGGCCTCAAGAAGAAGCCGAGCATCTCAAGCTCCCTGTCCTCCAAGGTCATAGAGTACAAGCGGAAGTATGAATCTTGATGAGAGCCTTATTAGGGTTTGACCTTGTGCACGCCGGACATCTCGAAGGTGCAGACTCTTTATGCATGTGCAGTTTTTTTCGCCATCGACAAATGCCGATGCAAAGGAGATCCATTAAATGGAAGTCCAGGCAATTCAGCAAGTGCCCAAAGTTGAGGTTTCTGCTGGCAGCAAAAAGGCACTGTTTTCTTTAAACTGCAAACATTGCTCCGATATGTACTTACAACTGCTCTTATCCAACTGGCTTTTTCACTTGCAGGCACAATATTTTGGCCCCAATCAGTCTCGGATAGCAAAATCACCTGGAAGCTTTTCGTTTCCAGCATGGCCCTGAAGTCCCTGGTGAGCAACTTGGTTGCCGATGGTCAGCACAGCCACGATGGGCACTCGACGTGCTTAGCAGATGGTCACCATGGACATGCATTTGGCCCTATGGCATCCAGCTTTACGGCCTTCTTCCCTGATGCAGTGGCTCCTCATCACTCTGATCACTTCCTGCCATCCATCGCGCCAGAGACGGTGCACCAAGGTGACGCAGCTCACTTGGACCAGTTCGACCAGTCATTACTGGCGACGCGGCGCCCAACGATGTCAGGGAGCTTCTGCGGTGAGGGGAAAAAGGAAGGCGATTGAGTGAAGGCAAAGAACTTCACAAGCACACGACTTCAGTGTAGACAGATTTAGCTGGTAGCTGCAATGACTGATGAACATACAGGGTTGCAAAATGTCGCACCAAGGTTGCAGCAGCATCTTTGCGGGGAAATCAGGGTGTGATAAATCATTGATGTACGTACTACTTGCTTGCTGAGCAATGTTGCAGATGACACTGTTGACAAGTCAAAAGAACGATGGAAAAGGCAGGCAGGTTTTTCTCTTTGAGCCAAACCTGCAAAATGTCAATCTGACTGTTTAAATGGAGACAGTCTTGCTCCCAAAAGAGCCAAAAGACAAGGGGCACAGAGAAGCTTGCTTGTCGAATTGAGAGTATGAGTATAGTACAGTATAGCAAACAGTTAGAATTCAGAACGATTATTTGTGTACCTGTTCGCAAACCAATATATCAGATCGATCAGGCTCATTTCTGAAACGGATCCCGTTAGTCCGAGATCCTGTTCGCAGTGCAACATGGCCCTGAAGTCCCTGGTGAGCAACTTGGTTTCTGATGGTCAGCACAGCCACGATGGGCACTCGACGTGCTTGTCAGATGTTCACCATGGACATGCATTTGGCCCTATGGCATCCAGCTTTACGGCCTTCTTCCCTGATGCAGTGGCTCCTCATCACTCTGATCACTTCCTGCCATCCATCGAGCCAGAGACGGTGCACCAAGGTGACGCAGCTCACTTGGACCAGTTCGACCAGTCATTGCTGGCGACACGGCGCCCAAAGACCTACGTGAGCTTCCACAAGGAGGAAGGCGAAGAGAAGAAAGAAGGAGAGTGAAGGAGAGTGAGTGCAGTACAAGGTATCAATCGGATTAATCGCAATCCTAATCCCAGAAACTGCTGTCAATACTGCAGTGAATGTTTCTGGGAATGAAATTGGCCGACAGTTAGCTGGCTGGTTGCAGTGACTCTGAGAGCAAGCGATTTGTGACAAACCGGCAACACAAACAGCTCTACATGCATTTGAGATATTGTTTAAGACTAAGACTTTAAGACCTTTTCTTTTTCCTCCTGTGAACAATGAGTTCTACATTGATGCACCGTTCAAGTCAAGCCAAGCTTTCTCTCATGGCACTGCTTACCCTTGAGTGAACACTAAGATTCAAAAGGTACGACTCAGCATGAGAGTGGCGAAAGTGTAAAAAACCGGCAGCGTAGGTCCATGGATTCAAGACATGTCAAAAGAGTTTGGATTTGCACATGTGTTGCAGCATCCGAGGGCAACGGAACCTTGCTATTAGGAGCCTGCCTGAACAAACCTTGATGCTTGATTCTCTGATATTGTAGAGCTTCGCACACCGGCGATGCCTGTAGGGGTCAGGGGAGGGAAAGAGAGAGGGGGATTTCATCTGAACTTGCAGACATGACATGCTGCGAGCTGCATCTTCGTTGTCGTCGTTGTTGTTGTTGCTTCTGGTCCTCCTTCTCGTTCTCGTTCTTGTTCTTGTTCGTGTTGTCGTTGTCGTTGTCCTTGTTGTCGTCCTTGTCATCATTGTCGTCGTTGTCGTCGTTGGCCTTGTTGTCGTCGTCTTGGTCGTCGTCAGCGTCGTCGTCATCGTCGTTGTTGTTATTGTTATTATAGCTGTTGCTGCTTGGTCCTGTGGTCGTTGTCGTTGTTACCTTTGTAGTTGGTACTTTTTTGCAAACCCCTCAAAATCGTCAAATCGACGGTTTTTGCAAACCCCAAAAAGCGTCAAATAGGCGGTGTGTTCGCGATTTTTCACATTCTCGGAACAAAAAACACCGTAAATACCGATGTTTTTGGCTCCGCGCCAGCGCAAAACCACGGTATTTACGAGGTTTTGAGCCTCTGCGAGCAAACATCACAGTATTTACAGTGTTTTGTGGCCCGGGCCTAGCAAAAACACTGGTATTTACGCAGTTTCCTGCATGTTGTCAGAAGCTGTTTTTGGATGACAAAGGCACAAAAACATTGTAAATTACACGATTTTTACGCGTGGACAGTACCAAAAAATTATGAAAAATTGACCAAAAACCGACCAAAAAACGCCCAACAAGGACCTCCAAAACGCATCTGCAAATTTTACCCTCTTTTCTCCCACCCCGAACCCCCAAAAACGTGAAAACCCCAGCAGGCTGAAGGATTTTCGGGGAGGGTCGGCGGCACCGGCGCGCCCCCGGGTAGCTAAAGCTATGCTTAGCCACCACCACCGGACGGCATCGCCGGATTAAAGGGCTACGCCCTCTGCCGCCGACCCTTGGACACTGGAGGGGAGTGAGATGCACCAAGAGAAGCTCCGGGCCAAGCAGCCGAAACAGCAGGGCCCTGAAGGACGGACCGGGCCTGCGGGCCGCGGCCCCCACTGCCTAACGTTGCTTTCTGAACCGACAAGAAAACTAGCTCTCTGAGCTGTCTTCCAGCCGCGAAGGCTCACAAACGGCGCCTTCGCCACACCGAAACAGCAGGGCCCTGAAGGACGGACCGGGCCTGCGGGCTACGGCCCCCAGTGCCTAACGTTGCTTTCTGAACCGACAAGAAAACTAGCTCTCTGAGCTGTCTTCCAGCCGCCAAGGCTCACAAACGGCGCCTTCGCCACACCGAAACAGCAGGGCCCTGAAGGACGGACCGGGCCTGCGGGCCGCGGCCCCCAGTGCCTAACGTTGCTTTCTGAACCGACAAGAAAACTAGCTCTCTGAGCTGTCTTCCAGCCGCCAAGGCTCACAAACGGCGCCTTCGCCACACCGAAACAGCAGGGCCCTGAAGGACGGACCGGGCCTGCGGGCCACGGCCCCCAGTGCCTAACCTTGCTTTCTGAACCGACAAGAAAACTAGCTCTCTGAGCTGTCTTCCAGCCGCCAAGGCTCACAAACGGCGCCTTCGCCACACAGAAACAGCAGGGCCCTGAAGGACGGACCGGGCCTGCGGGCCACGGCCCCCACTGCCTAACGTTGCTTTCTGAACCGACAAGAAAACTAGCTCTCTGAGCTGTCTTCCAGCCGCCAAGGCTCACAAATGGCGCCTTCGCCACACCGAAACAGCAGGGCCCTGAAGGACGGACCGGGCCTACGGGCCACGGCCCCCAGTGCCTAACGTTGCTTTCTGAGCCGACAAGAAAACTAGCTCTCTGAGCTGTCTGCCTTCCAGCCGCCAAGGCTCACAAACGGCGCCTTCGCCACACCGAAACAGCAGGGCCCTGAAGGACGGACCGGGCCTGCGGGCCACGGCCCCCAGTGCCTAACGTTGCTTTCTGAACCGACAAGAAAACTAGCTAGCTGTCTGACCTAAAAGGGCGCCTCCGCCACAGCCAAACAGCAGGGCCCTGAGGACCGAGCCTGCGAATTTTCTCTTTTCGCCCCTTGTTGCTAGTAAGGCCTCCTCTGACGCGCTCCCCCTGCTGGCGGCAGGGGTCGGCGGATTTTCTTAAGACCATGAAGCAAGTTCCAGAACCAACTGAGGGTGAAAGCGGAAGTCGGAAAGGTAGCAAGTACATGATACTGTACGTACATGTATAATCATGTGTATGTATATATATATATACACGGTATATAGGTGCTAATGTAACTCTCGTGAAGGCTGGAGACAACTTGGTATCTGAACTGAGTTCACACATGTTTACATTTGCAGGGCTGAATGGGGTCTGCGAAATCTGCCATTTCTGTTCAGTGCTAGTTGGAGAGAGGAGTAATCCAGTTCGCCTGTAAAAAGCCTTTGTCCGCAGTACAACATGGCCCTGAAGTCCTTGGTGAGCAACTTGGTTTCTGATGGTCAGCACAGCCACGATGGGCACTCGAAGTGCTTGGCAGATGGTCACCATGGACATGCATTTGGCTCTATGGCATCCAGCTTTACGGCCTTCTTCCCTGATGCAGTGGCTCCACATCACTCTGATCACTTCTTGCCATCCATCGAGCCAGAGACGGTGCACCAAGGTGACGCAGCTCACTTGGACCAGTTCGACCAGTCATTGCTGGCGACACGGCGCCCAAAGACCTACGTGAGCTTCCACAAGGAGGAAGGCGAAGAGAAGAAGGAAGGAGAGTGAAGGAGAGTGAGTGCAATACAAGGTGCCAATCGGACCAATCGTAATCCTAATCCCAGAAACCCCAGAAACTGCTGTCAAAACTGCAGTGAATGTTTCTGGGAATGAAATTGGCCGACAGTTAGCTGGCTGGTTGCAGTGACTCTGAGAGCAAGCGATTTGTGACAAACCGGCAACTCAAATAGCTCTACATGCATGTGAGATATTGTTTAAGACTAAGACTTTAAGACCCTTTCTTTTTCCCGAATGCGTAGCGAAGGGTTCCCGTTTATAGTCTGGGGGTCTGGGCGCTGGACCTTTGTTCGCCTCGAGTGGCTCGTCGGGTCGGCATCGCGTCGGAGTCGCGTCGTCGTCGCGTCGTCGTCGCGTCGTCGTCGCATCGTCGTTGCGTCATTAATTCCGTGTCTATGGGGGAAGCTGCAAAACTTCTCCTTTTCGAAGGTTTCCAAGCAGGTTGTCATGTGGTTTTGCGTGGCAGGCGTGGCACTTTGTGACATTCCACCCTGTTTGATAACGTGCCGAAAGTGTCAAAATTGGAGGACGTCTCGCACGAAATGCTCGTTTTGCTGCGCCCACGTGTCTCGTCTCGAGTCTCTGGTTTTCCTGTGGCGTCACCGTGTCTATGGGGGAAGCTGCAAAACCTCTCCTTTTCGAAAGTTTCCAAGCAGGGGGAAGTGCTTTGTGCAAGTTTGTCGTACCAAGTAACACTGGGAAGTGCTTTGTGCAAGCTGTGTAGTATAAAACGACTTTGTGCAAGCTTTGTAGTACAAAGTAGCACTGGGAAGTGCTTCGTGCAAGCTTTGTGGTACAACGTCTGGGAAGTGCTTTGTGCAAGCTTTGTAGTACAAAGTAGTACTGGGAAGTGCTTTTGTGCAAGCTCTGTAGTACAAAGTAGTACTGGGAAGTCCTTTGTGCAAGCTTTGTGGTACAAAGTAGTGCTGGGAAGTGCTTTGTGCAAGCTTTGTAGTACAAAGTGGTACTGGGAAGTGCTTTGTGCAAGCTTTGTAGTACAAACTAGTACTGGGAAGTCCTTTGTGCAAGCTTTGTGGTACAAAGTAGTGCCGGGAAGTGCTTTGTGCAAGCTTTGTAGTACAAAGTAGTACTGGGAAGTGCTTTTGTGCAAGCTTTGTGGTACAAAGTAGTACTGGGAAGTGCTTTGTGCAAGCTGTGAAGTACAAAGTAGTACTGGGAAGTGCTTTGTGCAAGCTTTGTGGTAAAAAGTAGTGCTGGAAAGTAGTTTGTGCAGGCTGTGTGGTACAAAGTAGTGCTGGGAAGTACTTTGTGCAAGCTTTGTAGTACAACGTAGTACTGGGAAGTACTTTGTGCAAGCTTTGTAGTACAAAGTAGTAATGGGAAGTGCTTTTGTGCAAGCTTTGTAGTACAAAGTAGTACTGGGAAGTCCTTTGTGCAAGCTTTGTGGTACAAAGTAGTACTGGGAAGTACTTTGTGCAAGCTTTTGTAGTACAACGTAGTACTGGGAAGTGCTTTGTGCAAGCTTTGTAGTACAAAGTAGTAATGGGAAGTGCTTTTGTGCAAGCTCTGTAGTACAAAGTAGTACTGGGAAGTCCTTTGTGCAAGCTTTGTGGTACAACGTAGTACTGGGAAGTGCTTTGTGCAAGCTTTGTAGTACAAAGTAGTACTGGAACGTGCTTTGTGCAAGCTTTGTGGTACAAAGTTGTACTGGGAAGTGCTTTGTGCAAGCTGTGAAGTACAAAGTAGTACTGGGAAGTGCTTTGTGCAAGCTGTGAAGTACAAAGTAGTACTGGGAAGTACTTTGTGCAAGCTTTGTGGTACAACGTAGTACTGGGAAGTACTTTGTGCAAGCTTTGTAGTACAAAGTAGTACCGGGAAGTGCTTTGTGCAAGCTTTGTGGTAGTACTGGGAAGTGCTTTGTGCAAGCTTTGCAGTACAAAGTAGTGCTGGAAAGTAGTTTGTGCAAGCTTTGTAGTACAAAGTAGTGCTGGGAAGTGCTTTGTGCAAGCTTTGTAGTACAAAGTAGTACTGGGAAGTACTTTGTGCAAGCTTTGTAGTACAACGTAGTACTGGGAAGTGCTTTGTGCAAGCTTTGTAGTACAGCGTAGTACTGGGAAGTGCTTTGTGCAAGCTTTGTAGTACAAAGTAGTACTGGGAACGACTTTGTGCAAGCTTTGTAGTACAACGTAGTACTGGGAAGTGCTTTGTGCAAGCTTTGTAGTACAAAGTAGTACTGGGAAGTAGTTTGTGCAGGCTTTGTCGTACAAAGTAGTACTGGGAAGTACTTTGTGCAAGCTTTGTAGTAGAACGTAGCATTGGACCGTGCTTTGTGCAAGCTTTGTGGTACAAAGTAGTACTGGGAAGTGCTTTGTGCAAGCTTTGTGGTACAAAGTAGTCGTGGGAAGTGCTTTTGTGCAAGCTTTGTGGTACAAAGTACTACTGGGAAGTATTTTGTGCAAGCTTTGTAGTACAAAGTAACACTGGGACGTCTTACACTTTACACTCTGCACTCCTTACTCCACACTCTACACTTTACACACTCTACACTCCCCACTCCACGCTTTACACTCCACGCTCCTTACTTTACAGTCCACACTCCGCACTCTACACTGTCCACTCCACACCCCACACTCTACACTTTCCACTCCACACTGCAGACTGGTAACAGGGGAAATATGTACTGTCTTCAAGCGATGATTTCCATGCGTGTCTTTGTGCGTTCGTTGTCTCTTTGTGAACTGTTGATCAGGTGCCTTTGCTGAGACGATATGCGCGCACGATGCATGAAAAAAAAAAGGTTTGGTTTTCCTATTGCAGAAGTTTTCACTCGTAGTCCACGAACGTGAATACATTCGGGTTCGTGGCTTCCATCTTGTTTTTCCTCCTGTGAGCGATGATTTCTACATTGATGCACCGCTCCAGTCAAGCCGAACTTTCTCTCATGGCACTGCTTACCCTTGAGTGAACACTAAGATTCAAAAGGTACGACTCAGCATGAGAGTGGCGAAAGTGTAAAAAGCCGGCAGCGTAGGTCCATGGATTCAAACCATTTCAAAAGAGTTTGGATTTGCACATGTGTTGCAGCATCCGAGGGCAACGGACCCTTGCTATTAGGAGCCTGCCTGAACAAACCTTGATGCTTGATTCTCTGATATTTTCTTAAGACCATGAAGCAAGTTCCAGAACCAACTGAGGGTGAAAGCGGAAGTCGGAACATGATACTGTACGTACATGTATAATCATGTATATATATTGTATATAGGTGCTAATGTAACTCTCGTGAAGGCTGGAGGCAACTTGGTATTTGAACTGAGTTCACACATGTTTACATTTGCAGGGCTGAATGGGGTCTCCGAAATCTGCCATTTCTGTTCAGTGCTAGTTGGAGAGAGGAGTAATCCAGTTCGCCTGTAAAAAGCCTTTGTCCGCAGTGCAACATGGCCCTGAAGTCCTTGGTGAGCAACTTGGTTTCTAGTCAGCACAGCCACGATGGGCACTCGACGTGCTTGGCAGATGGTCACCATGGACATGCATTTGGCTCTATGGCATCCAGCTTTACGGCCTTCTTTCCTGATGCAGTGGCTCCTCATCACTCTGATCACTTCCTGCCATCCATCGCGCCAGAGACGGTGCACCAAGGTGACGCAGCTCACTTGGACCAGTTCGACCAGTCATTGCTGGCGACGCGGCGCCCAAAGACCTACGTGAGCTTCCACAAGGAGGAAGGCGAAGAGAAGAAGGAAGGAGAGTGAAGGAGAGTGAGTGCAATACAAGGTATCAATCGGATCAATCGCAATCCTAATCCCAGAAACTGCTGTCAAAACTGCAGTGAATGTTTCTGGGAATGAAATTGGCCGACAGTTAGCTGGCTGGTTGCAGTGACTCTGAGAGCAAGGATTTGTGACAAACCGGCAACTCAAACAGCTCTACATGCATTTGAGATATTGTTTAAGATTTAAGACTGAGACTTTAAGACCTTTTCTTTTTCCTCCTGTGAGCGATGATTTCTACATTGATGCACCGTTCAAGTCAAGCCAAGCTTTCTCTCATGGCACTGCTTACCCTTGAGTGAACACTAAGATTCAAAAGGTACGACTCAGCATGAGAGTGGCGAAAGTGTAAAAAGCCGGCAGCGTAGGTCCATGGATTCAAGACATTTCAAAAGAGTTTGGATTTGCACATGTGTTGCAGCATCCGAGGGAAACGGAACCTTGCCATTAGGAGCCTGCCTGAACAAACCTTGATGCTTGATTTTCTGATATTTTCTTAAGACCACGAGGCAAGTTCCACAACCAACTGGCACATAGAAATAGTATGAAATAGTTGATTTACCGTTCTTACTGTAAAGATGGTGATTTTCCATAGCTTTTTGTAGAGGGTATGGGGTATATGGCATATATGGGATAATCTATACAATGATAATATAGCAATAATATCATGGGAATGATCTATGGGATGATTAATGATAACTCTCGTGAAGGCTGGAGACAACTTGGTATTTGAACTGAGTTCACACATGTTTACATTTGCAGGGCTGAATGGGGTCTCCGAAATCTGCCATTTCTGTTCAGTGCTAGTTGGAGAGAGGAGTAATCCAGTTCGCCTGTAAAAAGCCTTTGTCCGCAGTGCAACATGGCCCTGAAGTCCTTGGTGAGCAACTTGGTTTCTAGTCAGCACAGCCACGATGGGCACTCGACGTGCTTGGCAGATGGTCACCATGGACATGCATTTGGCTCTATGGCATCCAGCTTTACGGCCTTCTTTCCTGATGCAGTGGCTCCTCATCACTCTGATCACTTCCTGCCATCCATCGCGCCAGAGACGGTGCACCAAGGTGACGCAGCTCACTTGGACCAGTTCGACCAGTCATTGCTGGCGACGCGGCGCCCAAAGACCTACGTGAGCTTCCACAAGGAGGAAGGCGAAGAGAAGAAGGAAGGAGAGTGAAGGAGAGTGAGTGCAATACAAGGTATCAATCGGATCAATCGCAATCCTAATCCCAGAAACTGCTGTCAAAACTGCAGTGAATG